TTATTGTAAGCAAAACCATCGACTGCAAACCATCAACTTCATTTTACAGTCAGCCAAGCTGCTTCCTCACATACATGCCAAGAGCAACCACAGAATTCTGTCAAATTTGACATTCTGACAATGGAGTTCTCTTTCAGCTTAGTCAAGAGAGTCTTTTAATCTTCAGTAACTTTATATATCTCCAACAGAAATTAAATTAACAAATGGAAGAACACAGACTAGTTCACTTTGCAAGAGCCACACAAAACAAGATAAACAATAAAACAACTTAGTCTGCAGATGAGCCCTGGAGAAAGTTATTCCACTAAAGGATGCACTATGGTAGGCATTTTTTTCCAGAGGGAAACGGCATTTCTGACATTGTTTTAGTATCAAGACAGAAAGACTCTCCTTCCCCTGCCTGCTCCCCTACCCCTTGCAAAAAAAGAAAATGCCTTTGAGGTCCATATCAGAGATATTAGCATTAAGTTAGCAATGAAAGCCAAACTCAAGTCTGTTTTTTATTAGCATCCCCTTTTTATTCTTCCTCCTCTTATTGCAGGGCTTATTGCTGCTTGCTTTCTTCTCAGGAGGGAGGGAGGAGTTCTAAAATCCAATATCCAAATCAAGTTTGAATTTAAATCTCAAAGGTCTTTATCAAAAACAGCAGCGAGTACAAAAAGGCATGAGTTATCCCTCTTTACTGTTGCCTTCAAATGCTCATGCAGCAGTCAACACAATGACAGCTAGAAAAGAAGCTTCTGGACATGCAAAATCAAACACACTGTTAAAGGTTGTCATATGACGTTGTCAGTGTGCTGAGGACAGCCCTTGCTCTGCCTCCATCATCATTAGAGCTTTCTCAGCAACATCAGTGCAAGCAGTGGGTCAGTGCTGAACAATTTCAAAACCTCCTAAAATAAGTTTGAATAACAATATACAACAGGTAAAGATCAAACAGAGTCTATACTCAACCTGTTACAACAAGTAATCATACAATAATCACGCTTTTCATAAAAATCAAACGTCTAAAGCCACGTAAAATGACTTTTACAAAAATATCAATAATTGGGATTTGGGAAGGAAGATGAGGTGTTTCGGGACATGGTTAGCAGGTGTTGAACAGTTTACACTTGGACAGGGGGGGTTGGACTCGATGACCTCTGAGGTCCCTTCCAACCTTGGGCATTCTATGATTCTATGACTCAATGATCTTGAAGGTCTTTTCCAAGCGTAACAACTCCATGATTCTTTGATTTCATGATTTACTATTCAGTACAGTGTCTTTAACCCTGTAATGGTCTCAGAGCACCTACCTGAGTTGTTACCACATGTTCTCCATATTGCTGCATCACCCTCCCTTTAAGAACCATCCGTAGCTGATCCAGGGACAACAACGGGAGAGCGCTGCCCAGCAGCCGGTAGCACATGTAACTGGATGGAAATAAAGCAGATTCTCAGCACAGCAGACACAGAAAAAACTTAACAGTACAAAACACAACTTTCAGAAACAGAGTTTGTCTGTACCAGAGCTGTGGTGCTATAACAGCCAAGCAGAACAGCTCTCCTCCCAAACCCTTGGAGGTAACAGTTCTGTTTAGATATAAAGCTAAAAGCTACCAGCTTTGAATCTGAAGAAGTCCATCATGTTTATGTATTACCTTTATTAAATGTAAGCCCAAAGTAGTTAAATGTCAGTATTGCAATAGAAATCTTACTGATAACTCCTGGATTTAGGCTTTCTATTACTTTCTCCCAAATACTGGAAAAAACATAAAGCAGATGTTATCACACTGTTCAAAAGAAATGATCTTTTCCATCTTACCCCCCACAGAAGGACTCAGGCAAGAAACATAATAAACAGCTAATACTGTGAACAAAACAAACAAACAAAAAGACAAACAAACAGCTTGTTTTAGAACAAACCTCACAGGTCCTGATTTTTCCTTGACTAGTCCATTCTCCACAGCTTCTTTCCAGAAGAGCTCAAAGGCACCTTCCTTTAGTGAAACATGTAATAAATCATACCCAATGCTAGGCAATTTCTTGTCCTTCTTTTCAGACTTGGCAGCACTTTGCAGAAGTTCTACAAGTCTGGGAAGAAAAAATATGCATATATATCAGCTAGCCAAGTGACTGAGGACATTGCATATTGTGTTCCTCACTCAAAAACTTACCTAGGAATATTCTCTTCATTTACAATAGTAGGTGAGCCAAAGAGCTTCTTCAGCTTTTTAGGTTTCAGAACACCAGGGAACTTCTGTATGCCCACAAGCAAAAGATGCAAATTCTCTGGAGATTTGAAGGCTGAGGTGATGTCAGCTTGCAAGATGCCAAATAGAACCTCCTCAAACACAGCTTCAGGAACCTAAACAGCAATGCATTTTTCATCAGAAGGAGTAGTCTTCTAAGTAAAGTCCTCCCTCCCATTCAAAACCTACTGTGTCTTTACCTCAGAAAGGATGTCAACAAGAGTTTTTGCAGGGAGATCTTTGAGGTATGCATGGTATTGTGCTAACTGCTGCAGAAGCTGGATGCTCTCCAGCAGAGCCTTCTGGTCCTAGAAAGACAAAAAAAAAAAAGAGAATATATATTGATAAGGTTAAGCTAAAGGCACAAGTAATAACCACACCTGACACCTGCTCTGAATCAGCACTAGACATTCAAAAGGCACAGAAAGCCTGCATAAAAGGCTAATGAAGTGAACTAGACTTGATGCTCCAAATTCCATCTCATGCACTAGCCAGCCTTTCTCTACATATCCTCTCCCCATTTCAAGACAATTCCAGACCCATTACTGACAAATACCATAGCGTTATTAAAGTTACCTTAATAAGCCGGCCTGATTGAAACAGAGCCATAACTCCAAAAAAATTTCCAAAAGCAGCATTTCTCACAAGTTTCTGAAAAGAAGAAGAAAGATGAGAGTTGCAATTCACCCCACGGATGGGTTAGATCTGACATTCAACTATGGTTCCTACAGGCAGAAGAAACAGGCTGGAAGACTTGATCTTGCACATTCTTCCCTATGAAGGTAACACAGTCAGGAGCAAGCCCCTGCACTGTGTTCACGAACCACTATCCTGTATTGTTTTTCAGTCACGTTTCCAAGTTTCCTCTAAGACATGGGCAATTCCCTCAATTTTCAGTTTCCACAAATGATTCCAGCCCAGTTGTAAGTCATTTGTCTTAGAACCCCAAGAGCTGTGGCAGGCAGATGTCAACCCTCCACAGGACAGAGAGCAGCTCATCTAATCTCTCTGTCGGCTGATGCCGCTGGGCAGCCCGCTCACCTTCTTCACTTTTTGGAGGTTGTGTTTTTCCTTGATCTGTTCCAGGACACTGCACACTGGGATCTCCTCGAAAGCCTGCAGCACCTGGGGAGACAGATGAGACGTCACAGCTCGCCGCTCACCTTGCACGCTTCCCCACCAGGGAAAGGTGTGCCTGAAAAAGGACTGCTTAGACACAAACTGCCTGTTTGCGGGGGAGTTTGGGGACTTTTGTGGGGGGGGTTGCCATGAGAGCGCTCTGTGGCAACAGCGTGACCCCAAAAGAGAGACACAAGACCCCACAGCACAGCATGGCCCTTATCTAAGGGGCCTTATCAACTGGGAAGCACCAGGGCTCATCCTCCTCAGTGGCATGTTGGGTGGCAGGGGGTCACATCCCACTAAGGGCAGCTCATCCTTCATGGTGCCATGTTGAGTGGCAGGGGGTCACGTCCCACTGAGGGCTGCCAGGCTGGGGCTCTCGGGCACTCACAGAGCACGGGAAGGTCCTGGGAACACCTTGGGAGCTGCCTCCCTTCCAGGCGCCGCTGCCAAAGGGCCAGGGAGGAAGCCCCGGGGGACAGCTCGGGAATGGAGCAGGGGGCCGGGCGCGCCGGAGCCTCTCCGCGGCCGCCGGGGACACTCACCTGCGCCAGGGCCAGGCTGAAGCCGGGCCGCGCCGCCTCGCGCGTGGCCGCCAGCCCCTCCACGAGCCGCCTCAGCGCGTACTGCAGCTCGTCCTCCTGCAAGGCAGAGCCGCGCTCAGGGCTGCGCCGGGGCCGATGCCGCCGCGGCCGCCGCCGGCCTCACCTTGCCGCCGCCGCGCAGGTGGCGCAGCAGGCCCTGCGTGGCCGCCAGCCGCGTCTCCTGCTCCGGCCGCGCGATGTCCCAGAAGAGGTCGAGGAAGGCGCGGCCCTGGCGCAGGACGCCGCGCGGGTCGCGCTCCGCCGCCATGTCCGCCGCCAGGCCGGCAGCACGTGGGGCCGCCCGGCCCGGCCCGGGCCGCCCCTTCCGGCCGGGCCCGCCCGCGCCGGCCTCGCCGCGGCGAGCAGCGGGCGCCATCGTCCCCGCGACCTCCCTCGAGCACCGGGAATCCTGCTCCGCTCCAGAGCCTCCCGCCGGCCGCCCCTTCGGGGCGCGCTCCCCTCCGCCCCAGGGCGTCCCCGCAGCCTCGTGGCTTTGCCTCAGCCTCGCGGCCGCCCCTTCGGGGCGCGCTCCCCTCAGCCACCCCCGAGGCCTCTCCACCCGCGGCTCCGTCTCCCGCCGTGGGCTCCGGTTCCCGAGGCTCCTCACACGCTCTCCCCGGGGAAAGCCGGGCCGCAGAGAACGCTCACGGCGGTGCTGGCCATGGCGAGCTCCGGGCGTGGGGACGCCGTGCCCCACATCCCTTGTGACACTATCACAGTAAAACACGACACGCTTTTTCACGCGTATTTATTACAAAACAGAGGTGCGGGCGCGTTCCGAAGGGCGGCCAGGGAGTGGAGCGGCCTCTCCGCCGCCCGCCCCGGCCCGGGGCCGGCCGTGGCTCCGAGGCAGCCGCGCGGCGACAGCAAGGGCGGCTTTGGGGACACGGGAAGCGGCGCGACGCGAAGCGAGGCCGCGCGGGCCGCGCTGTGACGGAGCGGCCGCGCACACTGCGCGACAGGCAGCGGCGCGGGCAGCCCCGGCGCGGCGCACACAGGCAGCACGCAGGGCAGCCCGGCCGCGCTCCGCCCTATATAAGCGGCGCGGGGTCCTGCGGGCGCGCTCCTGTCACGCTCGCGCGGGGAGGAGGCTGAGGTGGCCATGGCGGATTTCGATCCTTACGACGATCGCGCCTACAGCAGCTTCGGCGGCGGCCGGGGGTGAGCGCGGCGGCCGCGGCGGCTCCACGGGGCGAGGGGAGGGCGATGGCGTCGCCTCCGGCCGCGCGAGGAGGGCCCGCGGCGGGGCCGGGCCTGCCCCTTCCCCTGGGGACATGGCGGCGGGGGATGGGATGGGAGGGGGGGAGCCGCCCGCTTCCCCCTCGCCGCTCCCGCCGCTTTGTGAGGCGGCCGCGCAGCCCCGCGGGGAGCGGGGGGGGCGCCCCGGCGGCTCGGGGAGGACGGGAGTGCCGCTCGGAGCGGGGGGGAGAGGGAGGCGCTGGGCCCGAGCCAAGGCGGGCAGGGCCGCGCGGAGCCCCCGCGGGGCCGCGGCTGGAGCGAGGCGGGGAGCGCGGCCTGCGGGCGCGGCGAGGAAATGGGAGGGCTCGGCGGCGCCGCCGCTCGCGGGCGGCCGCGGGGCCCCGCGTGCTGGAAGCGGCCCCTAGAGCGGGGCCCAGACCCTCTGCCTGCAGCCGAGGGTGAGGGATTGAAGGAGCTGAGGCTGCAGAACCCCCTTTGGGAGGGCCTGCTAGAGCCTGGGAAAAGGCTGCACCTGGGCAGCTCAGCACTCTACTCCCTCTAAACTTGAATTACCTCTCTCTTCCTTTATATATATATATACATTATCTACAAAAACAATAACAATTATAAAACTTGCTTGAACTGACGTTGGGAAGGTACAGGTGGCATTCTCTGAAGGTTTGTGCTGTACTGCCCTGTCTACACTAAAATGAAACAGCAGTGCAACTGCTGAATAAATGCTCTTTCCAAACAAATCTTAACAAGTATGCTGTCTTGTATCCTAGTCTTCCAATATATGTTTCTGGATCATGATCAGGATATATATATTTTTTTTCCTTTCATGTAGTTAGAGAAATAGTTTTGATTTTGAACTGTTTTAAGCATTAGGGAGGAGCTGTTGTTGTCATCAGGATTTTTTTCTCATATTCTCACATAGTACAAATTTTGTAAATTTATTTTTTAATTACTTTTCTTAATGCTCAAACACTCTTTATGTTCAGAGATCCCAAGAAAAGAAAAAGCACACAATGTAGATACTTAAAGTTTTGGTGCTTCATATAGTCTATATAAGATCCTTAGCCTTGGCCTTGGAGCCAATCTTAAGTGGCGCTTGTGTAATAAATCCTGATGTTATTTTGCAGCCCAGACCAGGCAGTGTAGGTATGTGCTATGGAGTTGTAAAACTGTTATATTCATATTCTTTTTTTTTTTTTTTTTTTTTTTTTTTAATAGAGCAATTAAACTTGCTCTCAGGCAAGACTTGCTTGGATCAACTAGAGGTGTCCAGCTGATTAGGAAATGCCTCTGCAGATGAGGAAGACCAAGTATGGAGTTAGCTGTGGTTTTAAGCTTTAGATGCTACTAGCATTAAAATAGGATGCACCTTCCACTAGCATTTAACTTACTGCTCTTTCTGCAAAACAGATTCATGGTGCCAGAACCTAACAGGTCACTGTGCTTTGTACAAAGTCCGGTAATATTTGTAGTTTAACAAGAACATGGCTTGTGTTCTTGAAGATTCTGATAAAGGATCATTTCTCAACTTAAATGGATTTCTACCCATTTCTAGGCTATACAGCATTGTTGGGATAGTGTAAACACTGTTGAGACTTGATGGTTTCTCTTGAAATTAGCATTAGAAGTAATAATTGACCTGTAGGGAGAGTTAACTTAGGGTTTAAGTGAGGTCCGTAGAAAACCAGTTAATTCCTAGCAAGCTCTAATCCATCTAAAATATTTCTTAGGCTTGCATTAACAGTATCCTGATAGTGCCTAAATAGTATCACACTTTTACTCTCACAGTATCCACTTTACCCTAGATGGAAGCTGTGCAACTAGCATTAAATAACAAAGGCTTTATATTAAACATAATCAGTGTTTTGAAGTCTGTAAGTTGAAACCAAAGTCAGTACCTGGGAATATTGTGGCCTGTTGAGACCCTCTGAGCATCTGTAGAGATTCTCAGAATTGATGGCAATTACAAGCCCTTCTCAGCCCTGATTTGCTGTAAGGCTGTTTATTTAGTTGTGGTTTTAAGCACTGGGCTTTACTCAAAGGATGAACGTCATCTGCTAAGTGTTGTACCAATAAATGAAAATAGAGAGCCAGTCTATGTTGTTTTGTCACGTTGGATCTTGTGTCTTAGCTATTGGCTGTTAATAAATGCCTCCTAACAAGCTTTTCTTGAGAAGATATATGATGCTATGGTAGAGATGTATTGGTTTGCTCAAATAAAGTAAGTGCGTATTTAAAGTTATAATATGGAGGCTTTTGTTAAATCTTCAATCCTACTGTTCCTCATGGCATCTGTGGTAAAACGCTAATATTGGAATCATATTAGGGACAACCACCTAATCAATAAAAAAGTAAATGCTGAATTATTGTTTTGCTCCTTAGTTGAAAGGCTTTTAAATTCAACTGTTCTCTGAAAGATGTCCAGTTTTGAGCCTTCGATATATTTTAGTTTCTGGAGAGAATAACCTAAACCTTCTAAAACAGTAGCTTTAAAATGATTTGGTTTTTACTACTTCCCTATTAGAGATGTTTACTTCTGCCTCTGCTGAAGCAAGCTTTCTTATTTTGCTTTCCCTTTCAGCTTTCTGAGGAAAAAGGAAGTTGCATGTTTCTTAAGGCTCCCATATTAAGATGACGTAATTATTAGCTGATTGTTGAAGCTGAAGTTGTCCTGAGTGGAAATATCAAGTACTCATTTAACATTTTTGGTGCTGACCTGGTTCACTTAGTGCAGAAATGTTCTTAATTATAGTTGATTCTTGTCCTATTGTTATAAGTGTCTGTCTTCATTCCGTCTCATTGCTTGTTTATTGAAATCAGAAGTCAGTCTTTTGGGGCTCAATTTTTGCTTTAAGAGTAGAGAAGCATAGAAAATGTTTCTTAAAGTACTGCAGCTATATCTAAATTCTGTGGGAAGTTTAATTTGGAACTTGGGTAAGGACCATGGCTGCAATACAGATGAAGACCAAAATAACCAGCTATCAAATATATACATTTGATATATTAAATGTATACATTTGATAGCTGATGTCTGCATCAAACATTGACTGTTTTTTTGTTTGTTTGTTTTTCTCCTGACTTAATATCAATAATAATTGCATAAGAGGGCATTGATTTCTACATCTTCTTTTCCCTCTCCATGAAATCCTTGTGTGCTACAGTAGAAAAAGTTACCAGCAGAGCAAGGTTAAATTGCTTTAGGGACTATGGATTGTAAACTTGATGGTATGGTTTCAGAAGCAATTTGAATTGATCGAAGTAGAGGCTGCCATTGAAAGCAGTAGTTCCTGCACTGGTTTTCATCCCTCTCCTCCTGTGTTGGCACAAGTGTCTTTTCAACTGGCCAGATCACCTCACCATTCTGGCTTGGAACTGATCTTTAGTTGACTTTTCAGATGAATCAGCTCACTGATGAAGGTGATTGGCAGTCCAGAGAACATGACAGGAACATACAGAAGAGAGAAATATTCCTTTTAAGCTCTGCCCAGCTGATTCCGATGTTTCTGATTAAATACAAAACCTAAGGCTTTGGCTGTAAATTACATATATGGTACTTCAATAGCTGTTCATAAACCTGCAAGTGAGAATTAGGAATGAAGTCATGATAGAATTGATTTTTACGTGCTGCAGAACTCTAGATGGATAGCTCTGCTTTTTTGGAACTCCTTTAGTTATAAATTTCTTTAATGCTGCTGTATATATACAAGCATTGGAATGTTGGCAGGTTTTTTTTGAGTATATTTATGACTCTGGATTACTTATGGGACAAAGGTAGGTAATATAGTTAAAAATGCTAAAATATGAATTTAAGTGGATGCAAATATTAAAAATGTTGTGTGGATTGTGATTTGATTAAATGTAGCAGCATGGTCTTTTGATGTCACATGACTCCTGGACAGAGCTGCTACCATGAATTGGCATAAATGACAGACTTCTCTAGAAGGAGTTAATAGAAATTGTGAATAAATTTCTTTCCTAATTCATTAGCAGTAATAGAACACTTATCCTGAGACACGAGACAAAGATGGACAATGATTATATTGCTTGCAGTGTGCACTCAAGCAGTCAGAATAAAACAATAAAATTAGTGGATTAGCCTTTGGCAGACTAATCTTAAAGCAAACTAATTAGTCCCTGTCATAGTAGCTAATCCTGGTTTGGTACACTTTATCTTCCACTGTGCTCTTAACTGTGCAGTGAGCCTTGGGAGGAGGGTATAGGCATGACAAATCCCAGTAAAAGTAAGATGTTAGAGGAGCACGTGAGCAAAGCAGTACACAAAGCATCTCTGGGAAACGTCCAATGTAGTCAAGGAAATGACTATTGAAACCAGTGGTCTAGAAGTCATCTAGACACATCTTCTGGTCTAGAAGTCCTGCGGAAGTGTTACAACTTAAGGTTGCCTTGTGTCCGTGATAAAATTTTTTGGCTGTAAGGGTCAGATTTTAAAAGCTTAGAGACTGAATGCTCCTGCATATACATTGCATTAATACAGTAAAGAACTCAATTGTTGGTTTAGTTTCTCAGCAAACCAATATTGATAGCCCTAATTGAGGCTAGAGAAAAGATAGGAAAGGGCAACCTAATCTTCCTCAACCTGTAACTCTCAAGTCACGAAGAAGTAAACTTCCAAGTATTACTTAATTACTCTGCTCTAGAGCTTTTTGCTCAAATAAGCTTTTTACTGTATGTTCAGTTAGAGCATTCCAGCCCAGGTACCCTTTAGGTATCTTACAGCTGGTCCTGGCAATAACTTTTCAGAGCCAGAAACTGCTTGTGTTGAGTTAAACATCATTGAAATAATTTGTATGAGTGTAGAGTACACTATTTGATTGAAATCATGTTCAGTTTAATATCAAATGAAGAGGCTGTGCCATACAAATATTTCCTTATCTCTGTGAATTATTAATGTTTCAGTCTGAAATGTGTTTTTTGGAAAGGGATGGATGGGAGCAGCACAGCTAGCTGTTGCAGTCTTTTCAGTGGATTATATGAGGAACTCTGTTCATCATTTCATTACTGAATTCACTTGCAATGTACTTAAACTGGTCTTTTGTTTAACCTCCTTCCCTCCCATTACTGATCAGATAAAGCTGAAAAGGCATTGGTTGATACGGGGGGTGGCATGTGCAGACAAAAGGATGGAAAAACTAACTGTAGTTGTGGAAAACACCACTTTCAAAGTCAAAAAGCAACTGATCATGCTATATACTACATTACTGCATTACTGGCTGTTTTGAGAATCATGCGCCAGAGTCTAACATAGCTTTTTTTCAACAGGTCTCGTGGTGGCGGCCTTGGTACTCGCAGACAGAAAGAGCTGCCAACAGAACCCCCTTTCACAGCATATGTGGGAAATCTACCTTTCAACACTGTTCAAGGAGACATAGATGCTATCTTCAAGGATCTCAGTGTAAGGAGTGTACGACTAGTCAGAGACAAGGAAACGGACAAGTTTAAAGGTGAATATTCAAAACTGTTCTAGATGTGGATGGCTAAACATAGGGGAGCTGGTGTACTTTTAAAATTGTTCTCATAATGAATATCAGTCTTAACTCTTAAGTCCCAGGTAGCTTGTCAGTTTAGGCTTGTTCTTCTATGTTGACTTATGTGGGTTTCTTTCACTAAAAAACATCTCACTTGAGTGAGATTCACAGATGAGAAGAGTCAATATTTACCTTGCCATAAAAGAACTTTTCTCAAATCTTATGCCTTTCATGGATTATTACAAACCTTAAGTGCCTGACCTGCTTAAGTTCAAATATATCAAAGTCTTGAGTACCCCCACAGTCTGTTCTAGCTCACAAGGCTCCCATTGATGCCCCTCTGTTGTTTGGTGAGTAGAGAAGAAAGATCATTCAGGCGATAGTATTACAGGAAGCAAATGTTTTAGAGGGGTGGCAGCTTTTTACATTGGAGTTGTGGCCATGGGAAGAGTGCTACGTTGTATGTAAGCATTTTATTTATTTTTAAAGAGAAAAGTATCAAAAAGTCTCAGAAAAGAAATAGCAAATTCACTAATTGATTTGGTGACTCGACTAGATCACTGTTCAAGCGAGTACTTCAGCTTGTTAAATGCCTCTAGCACTCAAACATCAGTGTCCAACTAAATAGCTGATTATAGGCATAGCTCGAAGCTAATCTGTAATGAGAACAGATAAGGAAAGGAAGCTAACCAGAGTCTTGGCATTTGTGTAGTGTCTGTATGAAGAGCTGTTTTGCAGAGCTGTATTGTCCCAACTGTTAACAGACATAGGTAATACATTCATCCTTAGTGATGTCTGATTCCTGAGTACTGTACATCTTGCATTTATCCTAGCTCATGGCTGAAGGGAGACTACTAGCAGATATGTAGGAAGAGAAACTTCTTATAAATGACTTTTCAACTGCTGATATTAACTTGTGAGGCTCTCCTTACAGGATTTTGTTACGTAGAGTTTGATGAGGTGGAATCACTCAAGGAAGCTCTTACGTATGATGGTGCAGTAAGTATACTTCAAATTAATTTGTGAAACAAAGATGAGCATGTGTCTCAGACCCTTTAGACACTTATCTGGCAAATTCTGAAAAGATTTTCTTTCATTTGACAGCTTTTGGGTGACCGATCACTCCGAGTGGACATAGCAGAAGGCAGAAAACAGGATAAAGGTGGTTTTGGCTTCAGAAAAGGTGGTGGGCCTGATGACAGAGGTGACTTTCTTAAGAATTTTCTTATCCGTAACAGTTTTCACTGCTGGTGCTAACCAATGCTAAGACAAGGCATGAAAGTAAATCTCCCATGAAGAGTGCATGGGAGTAGAAATTTTGCATATTCCTCCTTTCTAACCTAGTTGTTGCTGCTTCTGAGATGTCTGGAATAGATGCGCTTTGTGTCCGAAAGTTGGATGTGCTATTCCTAGCTCAGGAAGTGAGACCAATACCCCTAGTAATATACACTGTCTTGCAGAGGACAATTGTAAGCCCAAGAGTCTGACCTGCTACTATTTTATTGTTGTGTAAGAAAGTGGATAAGCCACGTAAATACAAGCCTACAAATAGTTAACTTGAAATGTCTCCTGTTCCACTGTGAAAAATAGGCTTTACCTAGTCATAAAGTTTACCAGAACTAGGCTCAAGTGCATTTCTAAGTGTCTCTAATGTATGTTAAAGAAAACTTTTTGGACCACATATTCTTGATTAACTTAACCATGCCTTTGTTCTTGTCCAATGGAACTAGGTAAATACTGAAACTAAAAGATTTTCCAGCAGCATGACTTTGGCTATTAAAGGACTGAAACTTTGATTTGATCTCCCCTTGATCAGTCTTTCCCACAGCTTCAGACCTGAACACAATTGTGGCTTTTTTCCTAGGAATGGGAGGAGGTCCCCGAGAATCCAGAGGAGGTGGATGGGATCCCAGAGATGACTTCAATTCTGGTATCAGTATTTAAACTTACACAGAAAGGCAGCCTAAAAAGCACGGAAGTGTTCTCATTTTCATGTCAGCTACATTTGTCCCCATTTGCTGTTTTGATCTACTGTATGCCAATTTGAGACATCCTACAGTTGCAGAAGGATCCTTTCAGGGAAACTTCTATTGCTTTATTATAGTCTTGACTAAAATTTATGAAACAGTCTTAAATGTCAGAGTAGTTTTTCAGATGTAGCTTATGTTGCCTAGAGGACTACATTTCTCAGACATGAGACAACATACATTTTTGGATAGTGACAGAAGCAGATAAACGTGGGGAGAAAAAAAAAACTGATACCAGTGCTGTATTCTCTTGAAGTAAGGACATGTGCATCTATTTAAATGATTGACTTCAAGGACATGTTAGGGTTTCAAACACTGTTTTAAAATTCAAAATGCTTCTGAAATTTCTAGGTCTGTTATGGCATCAAAAAATGGAGCTTGTGGACTAAAAGGTAGTTTTGGAGCTGCCATATGTGTTTTTTGGCTTTGGGTTATCAAAACACTTCAGTAGATACTAGACCGCAGGGTGACACTAATGCAGTTGTTTGTCCTCTGAAGTAGTGGGTTTGGTCCATTTTCTGATGGGGAAATGTTGGCAGGTGCTAACTCTGCAGTGTGCCTGCATGAATGGAATGGATGAAGTACAAGGAGCAGGTAACAAAACGTACCCTCTCCATGAGCACAAAACCTAATGCATGGTGCAAAGAAAGAAAGCTTGCTGCAGTGCAATGCTTAACTTGCCTTCATAGCTAAGCATTATGGTGTCTTAAATTGCACTTTTTTTTTTGCAAGTAGAGACATTTCAGCAGGTTCGATGTTGGAGGAGTTACCTGTGAACCAAAAGTTCAGCATTTAGCTGCTACAGATGCTTTTCTCCTCAGGTTTTATTACCTTGCTTTGGATCAGATCTTCAAAGACTGCCATTCTGATATGGAATGGAGGAACAATTCTACAACTCTGGCACATATATTGAAGTGCAGGGGACAATGTCAGATGGGAGGAAAACAAATTTCTTTTCCAGAAAACTTCTGAAAAACTGAATATATTCCCCTTCTGATGTTGTGCTAGTCTGAAGTATCCTCCTCCTGTTGAATTCAAATGGCCGAGATGTACCCTGTATATCTCTAGTATAGATCAAGATAGTCATTGGTACAGAGAATGGAACTCTGGTCAATGAGAGTTCTTGATTTCTTTTTTGATACATACACTGGAGAAGTGCAGCCACCTTCATGTGTAGTCTAAATTGTTTTGTTTCTTGACATTTGCTAGTCTAGTAAAATGTCTGCTTAGCTTAGTAATAACATCTGTGACTCACTTTTTCAAAGATCATTGACAGGTAGTCATAGTATAATTGGGAAGCCGTGAGACTGGTCTTTTTTGTTTGTTTTAAGGCTCTTACGCCTTTGGTTTTTTTTGCCGTTTTTTAAAGACTTTTATCTCTTCTACCTCTGTTACCTCTAGCTCTTTTCTCATTTGCTCTGCTCCTGTAAATTTTCTGTTAAGGCTGTAACAAGCGTGATGAAACAGCTTCTACCGAGGTCTGTGAATTCAGCTAATGGTGTTAATCTGAAATTGAAGCTGAAAGTTCTTGTTTGGAGACCAACTCAGAGATTGAGTATGAAATAAGCCTCTAGATGGATGAAGCAAGCTCTGAATTTGGGGATGGCATACTTCATTTCAAGTGGAATCTGTATGACTGCCACACGTATTAGAGATCTGCTTGCAGACAAATGATCTGGTAAAGTGTGAAGTGCAACATCTTGGACTGACAGCAATAACATGCAAGGCTTTCCAGTCACTCAGAATAAAAAATATATATATATATTTTTTTTTCAAAATGTTCTTTAAATTCACCATCTTCCTTCTTCAGGATTCAAAGATGATGACTTCTTGGGAGGTCGGGGTAGAGGAACTCGTCCTGGAGACCGGCGACCACCTGGTGCCTCAATGGGAACTGGCGGCACCGGTCGCTTCAGAGATGGACCTCCCCTTCGTGGATCTTCCATGGACTTCAGAGAGCCAACAGAAGGTAAACTGGAAAGTCTTCTGGAATTCAGCCTGCCTTCATTTAGAAAGGGAACTCCTGCTTTCTCCTTTAGGCTGAAGCAACCCTTTGTGATGGACAAATCTTAATGTTGACATCTTTTTCTTTCAGAGGAAAGAGCACAGCGGCCCCGACTTCAGCTCAAACCTCGAACAGTTGCTACTCCCCTCAATCAAGTAGCCAACCCCAACTCTGCTATCTTTGGTGGAGCCAAACCCCGAGAGGAAGTAGTAAAAGAGCACGACTGAGCTTGGGGTTGAGAGGGAATGGGGAGGCGGGAGAAAAAGCAAGACAGTACAGAGTGACTAGCTCTGCTGGAATGTCAACCCTGCAGTTTACCATTCCTGCCATCTGGCATTTGTCCTCTTTAAAACCGAAAACACAGAGCTTGTGAATGCATGTCAGCTGTTAACAAGTGGTTTTTAGTACGTTCTTGGCTTTGCTGTATCTAGTGCCTGCTTTGTGCTGAGTTTCCCTCTTCTGTTTCCTTCCAAGCAGCACAGTTGCCAGTAGGTAAGGCAGTGTAGCTGCTTCCACCAGTGTGGAGGTCTCTGGACAAAGGTGCTGCTTCACTTCCTCCTTTCTGGGTTTGTTTTACTTTAGAAGCACAGGTTAGACTTAGTTATTACCCTGTATTGTTTCCTTTTACTTCTTCAGTGCTCCTCTTCTGACCTGCATGTCTTGTTCTGTATTGCTGTGGCTCTGAAGAGGAAAGCTGGAGAATCCAGACAAGTTGAGCATCTGGAGTAATTTACAGTTCTAACCATGTAGTGAGATACCATTGATGACAATTGATGATAGAATTACTGTATACAGCTTAACTCTTTATTAAAACTGAAGGGGATCACTGCCCTTTCACACAGGTCACTGTGAAATACCAACTTAATAGATGCAAATAAAATTAGCTGAGAGGAAACCTGGTGAATAGGTAGCATCTCTGTAGATAAAGCGCCTGCCAGTAGACTCCTGGCTTTTGACTTCAAAATGGCATAACACTACATTCTGAGCTCAAGGTTAGTGCTGCAAAAGTGTGCTTGTTTGAGCACGACTCACTGGCTCTTCCTGCTTAAATTTCTTTTGAGTTTTACATGTTTGGTAAATTTTTAAATGAAGTTTCTACAAATAAAATGGACTTTTTTATTTTTGTTTAAGGAGTGTATACTTTGCCATGCAGTATGTAATTGCTATTGTCTTCTGTATTTCTTCAACCAATAGTATACAGTTAAGACCTCTGCTTTCAGAATACCTTGCAAAGGGGCAGATAAAAATCCAATATGCTTTAGATTCTGCTCATGTAGAAGTCTGGGTAAAAAAACCTCTCTAGTTGCCACATCTCTGTGAACTTGAAATGTTTCTTGCCACTGTTCCTGGGAGTGTATGTGTGGGAAGAGGGAGGTGAGGGAAATGGGAGGCTGGAGCGAAGTGGGAGAGAGGTATTCATGTTCAAAAACAAAACCTTCCTCTAGAACGCTCTGTAGACAGGTTTGCATGAGAAGAACTCTTGCCCTTAAGGCTAGTGCTGATAAAGCAGCCAACACACCAGAATATTCCCAAGAGGAGTTAGAGGCATGGCTGCTTTGCTACAAGCCTCACTGCTAGTAGTGAATTTCTTCCTTAAAGTTCCCTTTTTGTCACATCAGAGTCCCAGCAATTTACAGAACTACTTTCCTTCCTTCTGCCTGTCACTTAATCTGCTTCTGAGATAAGAACCATTTGTCTAACACTAATACTTAATTTAAGACAGACATGCATTTGTGTGGTTGTATTCCAAACCAATGATTGACCTATTTACATCTTCAATGTGGAAAAGATTTTAAGAACAAAACTCCCATATAAAAATTCACCTCTAGTCAAGACAGTTGACTTTTAAATGTAAAAAGAAAACAAAAAAAAAAAGGAAAAAAGAATTCCAAACACTTAACACATTCTGCTTCATAACAAAATAAATTTATGGATATGGTATTTTGTGAATGATCTTTTAAATAAAAGAAAACATTAAGTAATATTTAACATGGGTCTTTATTTAAGTCTGCTGTAGCTTGTTTTGTTTGGTTTTCCCAATTTTCCAGTGCTCAGGTGATTTGGAAATTTGGTTCCCTTAATCTTTTAGGCCCATTTTTAGTATTAGCTTATGTGAGGAGGAAGGGGAAGAAGGCAGGAGTTGCCAGGTTCAGACAAGTGCTGGGAACATGCAGGTGGCAGAAAACTTGGGCAGAGCTGGCAGGAAGCTCAAGTTCTCTGTCTAGGGCTTCTGAATCACTATAGTTCTTTGCTTCACACTTGTCTTTGCATAGGTTGGAGTCTTGCAGTTTGTGTAGCTTTGTGTTTACCTCCACAAACCCCTGCCCGGTAAAGGACAAACTGTGGCCTCCCAGCTTGAGCTATGAGAAGTTTTTAATGTAGTGGCATTATGTGCTGTGCCAAAGATGAAAAGATGGGATTAGCGCTGCTCCGTCCTGTTTCTCCCGAGCCTTTAGCAGAGCCTTGTTCCCCTAAGCCCAACTGTTGATGAGACCGTTGCCTTTTGTCTTTGCCGGAGTGCAGGCTGCAGGGGAAGCTGAAAGGGAAGGAGGTTTTTGTTGAAGAAACAAGCTCTGACCTTCCTCCTGGATTTGATGCCTTCCATTACGTGGAAGGCCAGAAGGTGTGTCTGCCTTGCAGGCCTCAGTCCAACCTCTGTCTATGCTTGCTCTTAGGGCAGCTTGAGCCAAGAATCCTCCTCCTGCTCTGGAGCATCGTGCTGAAGCACCTGGACTGTAGGGTGGGTAAGGGTAGGGCTATTCATCCTTGTTTGGTCAGTGAAAAGGGCTTAATGCTGACCCCGTTACCTGTTTTGAACAGTGTTCCTTGGATGCTTGCATTGGTTTTGCAATTGCCTGGTTTCTTTGGAGTATCCTGCCTTAGTTTAGGGTCACATTCCTCCACTTCTGTTTTCTTCCCTCTTTGAAGCTTGTTTAATTGATCAGCATTCTCAAATTATAAATGATTTCAACACAGAAATACAGCAAACTAGCTCCTGCCAACAGCTGACAACTATTTTCTTATGAACATGGCATTTACATTTTGTAGGAGGAAGCAGGATTTGTGCCCTCCTACTGGCAAAATACTGTTAATGTATAGACTGTAATTTACCTGCAGAAGCTAAATACAGCAAGGCACAGCCTAGACCAAGAAGGTTACCGGCAGTGGCAACAAATCGATAATCTATGTTCTTGCTGTTAATTTTGATGGTTGTGCAGAGCTTTCTTGAACCTAGAAGTCAGTAACAAGGCTGCTACCAACATAGACTGGGACTAGTAAAGAGCTTCCAGTGCTGACTGAATTTCAGGAGTCCTGCTGGACATAACCGAGCTGGTTGTGACCAAGGGCTTGACCAAGACTTACTGTCCCAGTGCAATCTGGATGATGCTGGTAGTCTTTTTGCTAATATTATGGTTTCAATCCTACCTTTAGCAGAGAGTATAGCACCTTATTAGCTGCCGATTTGTCCTCAGGGACAAATGCAAAGTCTTGAAGATTTTAGAACAAGTCCTATAATATTGCAACTCTACCTTTTTGAAAAATATCTTAATAAAGCAGGCAGAATTCTGCATTGCATGATGACCCCTTCATCACGGCAGTTGGGGTTACCCTCTGAGCAGCCCTTGTCCTGCTGGGCACCTTGAACAAAATTATTTGGAGTGACTTTTTTTTCCCCAGGGATCTCGCTGCTCATCTAGAGCGTGTCCTTGGACAAACACGGCGTGTGTCCAGTCTGCTGCAAGCCACGCGGTTTAGAGCCACACGTAGGGCACTGGTTTTCTAACCTGACCTCATTCTTTCTTGCTGTGTGGAAATAACCTCTCATGACGATTCCAACTGGCTTTCAGCAAGAACCCGGTCAAGGAGCAGTTACCTGCAGGCACCTTTAAATTGGTGTCGAAGTTTTTGCTTTATTTTCTGGTGTTATTTTACTGTATTTTACTACCAAGTGAGATTTGCAGGAGTGAGGGCGTTAGCATTGTCCAGACATACTCCAGTGCAGAATCAGTTACTTTTGTAGTTTTCAAGGACATTTCATTAGACTTGATTCTTGAGATGCAATTTCTGGGTGTTGCTTGTCTTAAATTTTCAGAGGAGTTGCTGTGGATGAAGAGGAGTTTGATTTCCAGATGAGATAGAAATTTTCTAATCCATTAGCTGAATCCTTCCTCTTCAAATATCATTTTACCCATTACAGGGCTTTAAGGAATCAAGTATATACAAAACTGCAGCAGTTTTTCTGTGTTAGTGTTATGTCCAAATCATGGTCCTCTGTAGCTCTTTGACTGAAAGCATTTTATGGTTTCCTTTTACACAGCTGCATCAACTCTTACGTAACCTTGCTTGCTCAGCAGCAAGTTAATTTTAACGCTGGCTCTCCTCCCTTCCATCCTCTTTGGAGCGAAGGTGTCCATGGGCTCCAAGGACCTGCGGCACCGGTTCAGAAACCAGGAGCTCACCTGCCAGCTCCCCAGTGCTCGTGCAAAGCTGTAGCGTGTCCCAGGGTCTCTGGGTTAGGAACGTGAGCTCGGGAGTCACTGCAGCTCCGTCCTGTCAGGTCGGTTTGGGCGAGCACGGAGCCGAGGGGTTCGCTCCCTACCAGGGGGACGTTCACTTGGTGCCACTGCTCTCCCAGGAGCTGCCTCCTCGTTTGAAACACACCAAAAACCTCCAAGCACCTCTATAAACCCCTACAGCATCTGCCCTGTAATGAATCTGACTCGTACTGCTGTCTAAAAATCAAATAAAAGCATTCAAAGCTTCTAAGATTTTGTGCGTGTGTGTTGAAATTGAAAAATAATTTTGCCAACAAGGATGAATTAAGGAGAATAAGAAGGGGAAGAGGCGTTTTAGCACCACAGGGAGGAGCAGGATTAATCTTTGCAAATCTTACAGGGCTGCTCCTCGCAGAGCACCCGGGCACACAAACCACGAGCTTTCCTTCCACTGGGTGGTAGCAGAATGTACCTCAGCTCGCGGCTCGGGCGAGCGAGAGGCTTTCTGTGTCTCGAGAGGCTTTCGGTTTCTCGGGGAGCAGAGAGCTCAGCCCTGGGCAGGGAAGGAGGTGGCGCTTCCCCTTCCGCAGGGTGAGCGCTCGAGCAGCCCGACCCAGGAGGAAAGTCGCTGCTCGTGCTTTACGGAAACGCACACGTGCGATTGGCGTTTGTCCAAAAATCTGGAAGGCAACGCTTTCGTTAACGCTCCTGAGCGTTCGGTAAAGCTCAAGTCACTCCTAGCTGGTACAAGACGTGTTTTATTCTAGTCCCATAGTTTATTTCCCTTGCCTACTTTATCAGCTCTGTAGGTAAAAGGCCATAGGAGCTCAAAAACTTTTCCTAAAACATCCCTAGCTGCTCTGTTGGGCTGCAGAGGAGCCAGGTTGTGCTGATTCCTGACTTCCTAATCACTTTTTACTGAGGATCTGTGATGGGCATTAGTTACAACATCTGCTGTAAGCAAATGCAGCTGGTCTTTGAGCAGACCCGCCCTTTGCCTGAAAGGATTTAGGCCAGTCCCAAGGGAGCAGAGAGCCCAGTGCTCCCAATTGCAGCAGGTGAAGCAGGGAGGGGGAGCTGGGTTTGCACAGCCCATCCTTGCCTCCCCTAGCAGGGTTTTTCTGTTGTTATCTTGGCTGTGCAGCACAAGAAAAAGGAGGGAAAAAAGAAGAGCTCAGTAGATAAGCGGTCAAACTGACCAAAGGAACATTCTCTCAGTGAAAAAGGCTGAAAAGGAGAAGCTTTCAAAAAGGATGGAGAAAAATGGAATTGCAATGAGAGGTTTTATGTAATTCACTGCAGCAGAAAGAGGGGGGGGAAGGAAAAAAAAAAGATGCTTTGGTGTTTTTGACCTTTTGTTGGAGCAGAAATGGCTTTTGGCAGCAAGCCTAGATGGAGCACAGGGATTACAGGAGAAAGAGGTTGGATCCGGTGCAGAGCCTGGTGCACTGGCTGCCTGTGCTGCTGAACAGTTCCTGTCTGCACAGATGTCTGTTCTTGCCTCCCAAAAAGCAGATTTTTGGTTGTGTTGGTAACTGCTTGGGGCAGGGGCCATGCTCTGACCCTTGAGATGTTGAGTAGGTTAAATCTAGCTTTTCTTATGTTAAATATAGTGATGCTATGATATAATAATAACATGACTATAGGACTGTATTACTGCAATAATTATGCTCAAAGTTAGAAACCGAGGTGGGGAGTTTTTGAAAGACACCAAGGCCTTTGAAGGGCAACTTTCCCCCCGGGAGCTGCTGTGACATCCTCTGGGCATCCCCTGTGGTGCGTGGTCAGTAATCCTCGGCACCGGAGCTGCTCTTCCGGCACGGGATGCGTTCGAGCTGCCCTGGAGAGCTGGGCGTCACTCCCGTTGTGCTCCGGGAGCCTTGGGGTGACTAACGCCAGGGGCTCTGCTGCAACGTTGCCAGGGGTGCTAACTTCCCTATTGAGGCTGAGTCATCTATGGAGCTGCGAGACCACATGGAGAAGCCACGTGCATGTAAGGGGTTGTTTTTTAGCAGTGACTGTCCCTAGCAGAATAACGGGTTTTTTGGTGTTTTGTTCTTTTTCTGAAAGAAACAAAAAGGCCACATGCCATCCTCCCCAAAGCATTCAGGGTAACGGTTCTGCTCTAAACAGCGTTTTCTATCATCACTGATCACCAGTTTATAATGAATTCATTGAAAACCAGGTAGAAACCACCTAACAAGGTGTTCCCTGGGGAAGATCTCTGCTAGGAATGCTCTTCCTCCAACAGAGGAGGAAATACATTTCAGTTTGTGAGGAATCCGTCCCCACAAACCATCCAAGCAAGTTCAAAGCTTTCAAAGCTCTTCCAGGCTGCAGTGCCGAAGGTATGTGCTGATTTCATGTCAGGCCTCTGCACCTGGAGGCTACGTGGGAACTGCTCTGGAGGGAGCTGGAGCGCAGTGTTCTTCAGCGCTCAGGTTAGAGGTGGAATAGGTAATGCCTAAATGTATTTGCATGTGTGCAAACCACAGCTAACTCCCTCCGAGTGATGTTTCCTCTGCAAGCTTCACAGTGGAGTTCCCAGTTGCAAATAGCTGTCTTATTTTCAGTTGTTTTTAGGATAAAAAATAAATGCCACCTACTTGGTGAGAGTGATGAATGCAGCTGCCTAGCTGTGACAGCTTGAGAATGTCCCGTGATAAATTTTGTTAAACATAACAAAAATCCGTTCCCTTTCTGAACAGTTTAGGTGGCTGGGTGTCAGAGAGGTAGCGTGGACCTTTCCTTACAGGATGGGCAGCAGCAAGATAGGTCTTTTCCTGTACAGCTCTGCACAAGTGTGTGGTTGTCCCTTCCCCTCCGATACCTATAAATACGTGCGGCTGCTGCCTGCACATGCTGGGCAGAGCAGGACGCAGCTCTTGTGCGCCACAACGGGGCTTAAAGCCAGTAGATCAATCCACAGTCATTCATAAGGCCTTGCTCAGGTGGAAAAGAAAATCCACGAGGTGCTCTTTAAAACAGCAGTGAAATCGTTTCTGGTATCTGGGGAAAAAAAAAACAATCAATGCTGTGGCAGAGAGGCTGTTTTTGTGCTTGTAGCTCTGGACAGCAGCAGGTTTGGGGTTGGCTCCGGGCTCTGCCTTTAGCAGCAGCGACCTTGGGTTGGGGGCTGCATTTTTGGGCCTTCCTCCTCTCTGCAGAAGCGAAGCACGCGCTTCCTTTCAGCCCTATCCGCCCTGGGCATTTGGGGGCAACCTCTGCCGCAAGCATTGCTCGGTGCAAAGCGAATTCCCACAGAGGCCGTTTGCAAACAGGAAAGTCGCTGCCGTCCCCGGTCCCCGTAGGGACCCCAACCTCAGACCCGTGGGGCCGCAAGGGGCCAGCGCCGGGCAGCCCTGGCTGCGGTCACCGGCGCTTCCTCTCGGCAGCGCGTCGCGGCCGGGCCGGCCCCCGGCTCGGCGCTGGCCTGGCGAGCGGCGGATGTTGGGCTCGCTGATTCAGATGGGACAGGAAACCAGAACCTGGCTTGCGATTCCCCCAGAGGAACCGAGGACGTTGTCGATGGCCACGAGCTGAGCGAGGACATGGGCCAGCCGGGCAAGAGCGGGTGATGCTGCTGGTAAGGGGGACAGGGTCGCCACGTGTGTTTGAGCACACACGTCTGGGGCATCGGGCAGATCTGCTGGGCTCCAGGAAGTTGGAGCTCTGCAGCCCTTGGGCAGAGGGTTGGGCTCATGCTGGCTTTGCCTCCTGCAAAGCAGCGTGGCTGCCTGGGGCTTCACCTCGCTGCTGCCGGGGAGGAGGACAACCAGAGAACACCGCCTGACATGCTCCGAGGTAGGGAAATGACCCAAATTTTTCCCACATCTTTCCCACAACGTTTTGTCCCTATTTGAAGCCAGGATGAAAGTCTGTCCATTTGTCCACTGATTTAGATTGCTCTTTGAATGACTTCCCCCCCCCCCCCTCATTTTTTTTTTCTACATTTATATCCTCCAAACAATTGTGGAAGTCTTGGGGTCCCCACGCGACAAGCTGTGGGGAGCTGCCCTCATCTCCAAACTGGTCTTTCCTGCTCCGGCTCCTGCACCGCTGCAGCCTCTGCATCTGCCCCACCAAGGCCCTGTCCTAAGAGCCTGAGCTTTTCCTTGCACTTGCCTGGTTTTCCCCCAGTTTGAGGCTTGATGAGCATCATGTACAAAGACGTATGCATATGAGTGCTTGTAATTTCTAATTCGAGACTGGAAAAATATTTATGTCTCTGCATCGCCTTTCCCTTTGCTCCGCATTCAGTATGATGTGGTCTAGGAGGTGGAAGGTCTAGCAAACCTGGTGGGAAAAATAGGGGATAGTCTGAGTGGTTTTTGGTTCATTTTCATTCCCCTGGACTAGATATAATGATATATTTGTAGACATTGTCCATATCTGTGCTGCTAATCCAGAGTCTGCCCTGGAGTCTACAGCAACAGCGAAACAGGCTGCGTGGCTCTGTTTCTGCCTGGAACAAGGGAGGCTGAGGACAGTCATAAGATATTTCCATGAATTATTTCCTCTTGTTGACATGCCTACTATGATTAGGATTTTATGCTGTATTCCCCAGCTAAGTTTTTGAAACATTTTACAAGTTGATAGTCTGTCTGAAAACTGATTCGTGAGCTCCAATTTTCCCTCTTGTCCTAAGTGTGGTAGAAATGCATGCACTGCTCCCTGGAAGGAAACAGAGCATGCTCTGTTTGAATATCCACATAAAAACAGACTTTGTCTGTATTACTGCAGCTTTCCTAAGAAAATTTACATTAGTCTAAGATGTGGTAGGAAGAGGGACATGCAGAACTCTGGAAAGGAGCTTTTCTGAATTTTGAAAGCTGTTCACTGGAGTGGTTCCAGCTGCAGGAGCTGCCTCTGTTCTGACACTTTAATTTCTAAATTGATTAGACCTTCTGTGGAAATCTGTGCGATATTGACAAGCAAAAAGTAGCATTTCTTTTCTTAGAAATATTAGAGACGCTGAGTCAAGCTGAATATTGCATCATTTCAGTAAGTCCCTGTGCTAAATTTTGTACAGCGAGTTTTTACATTTCATTCTAGAGACTCATGCAATCAGTCTGAGTCTTAATTTATGGCAAATGAGTGCGGACTATGACAATGGTTTTATGCAGGGGAGATGGTTTTCTTTGCCTCTTGGACATTTCTGCTCCGAAGTTTAGCACTTTACCTAAAATAGCAATTTCGGTCTTCATTTTGCAGCATAAATTTTCCCAGGTTGGGGCTTGACTTCTGCAAAGGCTTCACTAGACTGACTTCACTTGAAAAGGTCTTGGGGAAAAATAGCTGTCATCACAGATGGCCACACCAACACATTCCTCACCCTTTAGACTTTTCCGGAAGATAAAAGAAAATATTTTTAAAAATACTCAAAATACTTTAAAAATAAGTAAGCTTTATTTTTCTTTATTTTTATCCCCTTTACCCTGCTGTTGGAAAGCTGCTTCAGAGTTGCCACCCCTGCGGTAACTAGGAATTTCATTTCATTTCCAGCCTGTATGTGTCAATATGCAGGTTACGGCCACTTGCTTCCATGCCAGCGTGTCCTTCAAATTTCAGTATCTCTGGTCACTTTGGTATTTTGTTCTCGGATACAGGGATAAAGCAAATTCAAGTGTGCTCACTCTCCACTTCAATAGACTTAAAAACCTGAGACCTTTTGGTCTCCACTGGGAAAACAGATGTTCCCTTCCCTTGATTTTTATATTTTTGTATTTTTATTTTTGATCTTTTTTTTTTTTGATTTTGTATTTTGATTTTTGTATTGTACCCTTTTTTTCCCTGGGGACTACCTTGAACCTCACTATCAGATTAACCCCCTAATTTAGGACTAAATCCTTCCACAACAGCAGCCTGGGTGGAAAGACATGTAGCTTGGTGACATTTGGCAAGTTTTCTAGCTCTTCCTGGAGAAGAATTCCCTATATGAAAAAAAATCACCTTTTGCTTTCTAAAAACATCTGAAGGGCATTGAAGAACCCTTCAATGCCTTCACCGGCTTCCCTGTGGGCAAAGAAACCTCAGCTACTGCAAAAGGAAGGAGGAAAAATGCTTTTTAAAAAAAGAACAGAGACCTCTATAAACAGCACAGGCCATCTTGATGTCTTCTTAATTTCGCTCTTGAAGACCTGAAACTACCACAGGAGTGGGTTGTTTTCTCTGTGCTCAAATTTAGCATGGGGAGCTCTGGGGAGCGTTGCGCCTCCACTCCCTACCCATGTGTGTGAGCAGGGGGAGGTTTGGAATGGCAAGTTTTGGGTTTTGGGTTTTTTTTTTTGTTTTTTTTTTTTTTTTTCCCCCACCTAAAGCCAGCGGTGCCCCAGGGAGTGAGTCCAAATGGATCTTCCTGCCTTGGGGTGCTTGAAAGCACGTGGACATGGGCCTCTCCTTTGGCTGCCCCTCATGGGTGTTTAAAGAGATGGTGACAACAGTGCTGGTGGTGGGGCTGAGGGGTGCGGATCCTGCGGGTGGTGGGGCTGAGGGGTGCGGATCCTGCGGGTGGTGGGGCTGAGGGGTGTGGATAGAGCCGTCGGGTTCATGGATCCTGCGTTTCAGGCTGGACGTGAGCCGGGCCATGGCGCAGGCCGAGGTGCTGTGGGCGGCCGCCTCGCTGATGCTGCTCGGGGCCGCCGTGGGCGTCTGCGTGAGGTGCCAGCTCTGGGGTAAGGCGTCGCGCCGGGCGCGGGCCGGGGCACGCGGAGGGTCCCGTGTCGTGAGGCTCCGTTGAGCACCGAGGCGGCCGCGCTCGCCGGCGCCGAGGAACACGCTCCACACAGATGGACAAGTTGGGCTCCACGCTTGGCTTGCGGGAAGGGAGGTAGTTGGGTAACCAAAATCAGCTCCTGCCCGAGCCCTGTGTCAGCCCAGGGCGTCCTGCATGGCAGTTCTGTGGGTGCTGGTGTCCAAAGCCCCTTGCTGGCACCAGTCTTTGCCAGCGCCTCGCACTGGGAGCTTCTATGTTGAGCTGCTCCGTCCCCCTCTGCTCCTGAGCTCCCCAGTTGTCCATCTCTAATTGCCTTTTCCCCCCCAATTTCTTTCAGCTTCCAAGCGAGAAAAGCAGCAGAGCGAGCGGAGGAGAGAGTAAGTCACGTTTCCCACCTGCCCTTTTCCCAGGCTGTCTGGATCCAGGGATCTGTGCCAGAGCCAGGCAAAGGCTGTGCCTAGTCCATGTGCTCCCAATATCCGCCTAGCTGAAAAAGAAAAGACTATAAAAATAAAAATCCCCCAGAATCTCATGTTGTAGGTGTGAAGACAACCCCCCCGAGACCCTGGCGAGGTGGCACTGTGCCCAGAAGAGTAATCCCAGAAGGGGCAGGAGCTCTGACACTGTGAGTCACTCACTAGGTGGAAAAACCTCTGGAAAAGAGGAAGAGCAAGTTCTTATCTGGTGCCATCGCATACCAAGGCAAGGTAGAGAGGCTCAGCGAGCGCAATCCTGTGTTGGGTGCTGGTTAGGACACGTGCTGGCGCCGAGCACCAAGCCTGAAGCACCGGTGGCTGAGGAAACATCACAGAGCGGCCCCCCTTGTTTCCTCCAGCAACAGAAAACCGCAGCTAATTGTAACCTTCCACGATGGAGCAAGCAGGGTGCAGATGGGCTCTGCAACAGCCTCTGTGGGGCCAGCAGTGTGGGGGGAGCTGCAGAAGGCTCCACGATACTCTGCCAAAATGCCTTGACTTGTCAAAGTTTTTGTCTGGATCGCATCTTTTGGCTGCAGGCTCTTGATACCGTGCGCTCTTCTCTCCTAGATAAGTTTTGTTGTAGTTTTGGCTTTCTGCAAGCCCAGTGATTGAACTATATGTGCTTACGGGCTTTGCAGTGTGATTGCTGTCTCCGTGCCAGCCCTGCACCATCAGCACCAGCCTAAGGAAGAGAGGTGACCGGAGCAAAGGGGTGAAAAGAGCAGAGACCCCCAAGGACCCCAAATTAGATATGATGAGTGCTTATATCCATCCGTAGTTGAACAGGAGCTGAATCCTGCCGTGTTCTGGAGAGGAGTGAGAGATTGTGATAGCTGAAAGGGAGAGAGGATTATTGACAATGTATATTATTTCTGGTCAATATTAAGGGATCCTGGGAGCAGGTGGGATAACAGATGAGGTTAGACAATAGGAGTTTAAGATATTTCATAGGGTGGGGATTTTTTTTTTTCTCCCCCCCTCTCTCTTCCCTGGGTGAAAAGGGGATGCTGGCCTTCCAAGCTTAATTTAAATACAGCTTAATTGGCATGTAAAGCGTCAGAGTAATCCTAATAAATGTTGTTTTCCTCATCCCTGGTCCTTCTTTTAGCTGATGGAGGCTGCTCTGCCAGCAATCCATACACTGAAGGGCAGGATAGGAGGCCAAAGTGAGATTTCAAAGGAGACCTCCATGCGTCATCACAAGCAATATAGCAAGGGAAAGAGTCAGGAAGCTGCTCCCAATTTTCTTCTGTCTTTGCACGAGAAGCTGAGCCACAGAAGCATGATGTTCCATGAAGCTGAGCTCAGCCCTGTGATTCCCTCTGCTTACCAAAGAGTGGAATCTTTTGCACCTTGTTGTATCCCTGCAAATCCAGCCTTGTTCTTCTCCCCACCTCACAACTATATTTATTCTCTTTCCAGGCTTGAAAATCAACGGAGTTTTGAGGTGATTCGATCCCGTTCTAGTAAGTATGGGGCTCACAGATCCCTTGGGGCGTGCTGGCCAGTGTGAGCCTCCCTTTCTGCAGTGCTCAGAACAGCAAATATTGCTCTAAAAATAAAAGGGTGACCTCAAAACTAGGCTGCGTGATAACACACAAGTGAAATTTTCAATACAGCCTTAGATGCTTCTAGGGATGTGAATCCCTAACATTTAATAATAATAACCTCCGCTTTGAAAATTAATCACCAGAGAGTCATTGAAACATAAATCGGGCTGTTCAAAACCCACCGCTCGCACTGTGGAAATGGCAGCGTGGGATGAACCTGAATGGATAAGTGTGACTCACTTATTGTTGTCCTCGTATTGTTTCCTGCAGCAGATTTGCTCACACGCTGACCTTTAACTTTTATCCTCAAGCGAGCTGTGCGGGCCAGGCCAGCTGCTGCCGCCAGCTGTGCGGAGCCCGAGCCCTGCGCCCACCTGGGAGCCTTTGCTCCAGGTGGCCCGAGGGACAAGGGTGCTGCAACCAGAGCTCGTGCACCAGAGGCGCAGCTGGTGTTGTAAGGGCAGGGTATTGAAGCGTGGAAGATGCCACCAAATCAAGCAACACTGAGGCAGATTAGGAAATAAGATAACGATTAGGACGCACCTCTGGGGTCTGTTCGCTAGCTCTGCTGACCTTAGATCTAATCTTTTTTTCTATTTGCTTCCTGTCCTGGCCCATTGTACACTTCTGAGGAGCTATTTGGAAACTATTTCACCCTGCCCTAGATAAATGGTTACCAGGACCTGGAAACCTTGTAGGTGTGATCCTCAGTGGTCACTTTGAAACATCTGCTGCTGCCATAATCCTAATATCTGGTTTTCTTCTTAGTGCTAACCACAAGAAGACTAGAACAAAATAAGGCGTCAGAAAACTCACCAGTGACAAGGTAGGTAAGAGAGGAACACAAAATCTAGCAATAGAGGCTGGATAATTACCTCAAATTATGGGTCTGTTCAGAACAGGCAGGTTCTGGATCCTATGGATCTGTCTTGGGCTGTACTGAATGTATTGCCAGTCCATAGTGGTTTTAATCTTTTTTTCCTGATTTTTCTTCAGTCTAACTGTATTCTACTAATAACTAGTTGAATCAGAAGAAAGGAAATGAGCTGTCATTATGCACAGCAGGCACATAATGAAAAGGAAACAGTGCTCTTTGCTTATGACAAGTTTGACACGAAAAATCTCATTTTCTCTTTTATTGTAATCCCAGGAAATACACGACAAAAAACTGTTGCAATATTGAGGCACAGTTATTTCCATCTTGGAGTTTTATACAAAACTGCAGGTCCCACTAGTTGGCATAATATAAATTCTCATGTAGTTTCATAGAGCTTACTCCTCGCTTAGGCTCTGCTGTGATTTAGCATACGTGAGACAGTTTGTTCAGACCCTTTTGCTGAGTCTGAGCTACGAGCAGCTGCACAGTAGCCTCTGCAGAAGCCTTCAGTGTGTTTCTGCCTTTCAGGAAAAGCAATGAGGAACTCGGTACCACACGTCGCGTTGGAAGTGGTGAGTGTTTCTACCGAGAGGGTCACTTATGTAAAACTGTCAGTCTGTGCAGGAGTAGGAGAAGTGCCTAATGCGAAACTCAGAAGAGGGAAGGTTGCAAATCTCTGCTCACTTATGTGGCTGGGAGCTCCCAGCAGCGTTGGAGAAATGGGGCCTCTGAGAGGATGTTCATGCATGAGTTGGATGGTGCTTGTGGGGACACTCCACCACCTGGCTGCCCTCAGGGGTTTCTAATGCAAACCTGTGTTTCCTTCCAGAGGATAGGGCTGAATCCCGATACCAGAACTTCCTGAAAGGTAAATGCTGCAGCATGAATGCATAAAAGGGGGATGAGCGCTGAGGGGCCAGAGCCACTGAAACCAGAAGTCACTCTTGTATCTGAGCCAGCCCCGCTAGCAAAATCGCTCAGCTCTGCCCTGGGCTGGTGGTTCGGGGCCCTGTGGGGTGCCTGGCTGCTGCTGCTGCCTTCGCCCGTCTCCGCTTTGCGTCGGGGCTTGCAGCTACGTGGTGCTAATGGCAAAACTGTTTGTCCCTGCAGAAGACCAGCTGCACGAGGAGGCCGCCTACATGTAAGTCGGTTGTCCCCCGGCACCCCGGGATGGCTGGAGGGGCAGTGAGCGGCCGCCCCGAGCCCCCAGCGCAGGGCCGAGTCGTGGATGTCTCGGCCGTGAGCGATGCACCCTGTGCAGATGGAGCTGATGCAGGTGTTTCTTTCCACAGTGACCCAATATCCTGGGATTACTACAACTGGATGAACCCTGGGTCTCTGCACGGTAAGGTCGTGGAACAGCTGTGCAGGCTGCCCTGAGGACGCTGGGATTCCAGTCACATTTTCCTTTTCTACGTTTGTGCTCTGTTACTATATGGTCTAGAGCAAGCATGAGCCCAAAGGGCCCTTTCCTTAAGGGACATAGCTGTGTGTCTGTGCATTAGGGGTGAAGAGCCATGAAAAACTGTTGTGGGAAATGCAGACACCCTCTACAGTGGTGCAAACCCGCATGCTCTCACATGGCCACCTCCCGCTTCGCCTTTAGCGTGCTGAAAGGACAGTGACGGAAGAGATAATAAAGCTACAGAAAGCAGTGCGAGATGGACTTTGTGTTCAAGTTATTTATTTAGGAGTGCAAGTCCAGGCAGCAGGTTGCACCTCGCTGCATGGTGGAAGCCTTTGTTGTGGACATCACAGGGGGGTTCAGGAAGGGATTGTGCAAGTCCAGCGAGCATCAGCCCATCTGCTGCTTACAGTTACCACAGTGCAAATGCAGACCTGGATCAGGAAGCTCCAGACTGCAAGAAACCCTTTATTCTCACCCTATTTCTGTGACAGCTGACGAAGTAGCTATAGGTGGTGCTGGTGTGGGCAGTGTGGTTGGTGGACTCGTGTCCATCTGACCAGGGTGATATTGAGATCACCCCTTGCTGTGCTGCACTGACTGTCCCCCCTGTGCTGGTCCAAGCTGGGACTATGAGCTTGGTGCATGTGCCTGTCAACATGCAGCTGGCCTGGAGGAAAGTGGAAGCGGGCAACGGCAGCTGTGTTAACCCACCTGCAAAACCTCTCCAGCTTTGGCTCCGTGACCATGTTGACTGTTGGGGCTTCCGTTGTGTTTTGGGCACCTGTGGATGCAATTTTGAGGTAGCAAATGAGGAGTCAGTGTTGCTTTGAGTGTCCAAGTGCCAGTCTACAGTCCCGGCAGGATCAATTCTCTGCATTGCCTTGCACTTCTTGTATGACCTTGACTGAGTCTCTTCACAGTTCCTTATCTCAGTTCCTTCTCAAGCTGAGAATAACCCAGGAAAATGCAGCAGTCACCAGCTTAACACCCGCCAGGAAGGAAAACCCTTCCCCAACTGCTAGGCTGGATTCCATGCCTGGGGATTGACCGCCTTCTAGGGCCAGGTCTCCCCCTGCTTGCTTTAAGAGCTGTTCTAGGACTAGTAACTACGAAAGCTTAGCTTTGAGTCCCACTTGCAAGAGGAGCTGCTGAGAGATTCCTTTTATCTTGGCTCCTTTGTCTGAGGCCACTCAGGGAAAAAAATACTGTGCGAACCAGGGCTTAGCCAGCTGCCAGGAGAGTTGGCAGTGGCATTTCAGTGGGGCAGAGTTTGCCTAGGGTGGCTGTGCTGGAGATGCCCTGGCCCTAGTTCAGGGCAGCCTGAAGATCATGAAGACCTAACTATTTTGATTGATTTATTTTTTTCTTAAGCTAATGGGTGGGTTTCGTTCTTCTAAATGGCCCTTTGCTATGGACAGCAGAAGTCCTGCAGGCGTTCCCTGTATCACCTACCTTTCTTAGATCCTTTTCCCTCTTTCTCTTCCTGCCAGGAGGAAGAGAGGAGGATTCCTTTTCCTATCAAAATGTTGTCGTTGGAGCATGTCTTGGCTCCAGTTCAGGTAAGCGTGTTGCTGCCATGAGTTGTGTGTATTGTACAAAGGTATCTAGAAGCCCAGATGTGGACAGAGAGCTGCTCAGTTAAGATAGATTAGTCCTTTCAGTGTTGTTATACCCAAGATCTACCATAATTTCAGGCCCTATCTGAGATTTCCAATCATTTTCAAGCCAAGAAGGCAGCAGCCAGTGAGCCCCTGGAGCGTGTGCTGGGCTATAGTCTCTGCTTAAGGGCTTTGAACCCTAAACCCCTTAAGCCATCCCTGGAATGTTGCTGCCAAAACAGGAAGCCAATTTGGTTTCCTTCAGTGAATTTATCTGTGTAGAAAACATTGCATTAACCCTGTGCATGCTCCTTTTAGCTCTGTAGGGAGTGATTAGAGGAGGCAGGGGTAGTGGGAGCTGCTGTGACCCCTGTCCAAGCCTGCAAAAAAAACAAGGCATGTGGTCAGGACTGGAAAACAGATGAGGCAGCATCAGGAGACCTGCAGCCTGGACAGCCACATGCTGGAAACTCAGCCACGTGCCTGTCACAGGGCGAGAGGGTAGGAGGGGGTTTCACAGAGACGTTTTTAATCCATTTGTTGGTTAGCATCATCTGTCCCAACTTCTCTTAGTCACAGATGACGCAGGAGACTATGAGAACAGCACAGCGATCCGCATATGGACATTGCAGCAAGGTATGTTCTCAGAAGCTATTTACTATTTATTGACAAGGCTCACACGTATCATGCCTGTTGTGATAGACCAGTATAGAGCATGGTGATGCAGACATCACCGTTCTCCTGAGATGTTTTACCCCCGTTATCCATGATAAACACTTAAGTTCATATGCAAATTGCTGCAGACACTACAGTTGAACTCTGACATCTCCTTGAATGAGATCTGGTGTTTCTATTTCCCAGTATCTAGGCCCAAGATCTGACCACAAGCTGTTACAGAAGGATGTCTCTATTCATATCTTATCCTCTTAAATTTCGAAATATCCCTGATGCAGATTTAGCCTTGTACTGTAATCCACTAAGACAAAGAAATGCACGACATGCATATTCAATGTCACTAGTGTCAATATTGTGAATATCTTGCAGTAATTATTGCTGTTATTTCTTAAGATAACCCTTAAACAACAGAGTTTAATCTATTTTGGGGCTTCCTGGGCAGCGTACAGGGCAGCCTGGCCCGGGGGCTGCTGCTGAATGCACATGTCTATATGTAAGAGCTTTCTGTGGCTCATGAGCAAACTGCTTCTTGCTATCCTGCTCGTGCACTCTCTGTGTACTCTCTAGATTAAACCTAAGTCCATGTGTTTGGCTCTGAAGGACTCTATCTAAAATACCTGCCTGCAGAATTATTGCAATTCGCTGTGAACACTTTGAAGCCCATCCAAGGAATCTTGGCACTGTGGTATGGTGTTTCTTAGCCTAGATGGAGAAACGCTTTAACACTGAAAGTTAAAAATATTGTCGGGATGCCTTGTGTATGTATGGCTTGTGTTCGCATTTAGATCAACCCACTGACTGATCAGAACTTTCTTACTAATAACTGTGAATATTAGAAAGTCCAGATGAGGAGCCGGATTATGTCAACACGGACCCTGCATCAGGCCTTGCATCTCTGCCAGAGCAAAGGTAATGAGACCAAATACCGGGTTTGTGTGTGTTAGGGGTGGGAGCATTGTGTACATTCCTAGGAACGACCCCTGCTCCCAGCAGGGAGCATCCGTGGTGCTCTGCAGCCCTGCTGGGTGTCACCAGCAGTGCCATTTTTTAGCAGCCTGTGGGGCTGCACAGGAAGCCAGGTGTGTTCACTGCTTGCTGCCTCTGTGGCTGGTGCTGACCCACGTAACACAGATCACGAAGACAAATTTGCCCCAGTGCTGCCCTTCTGCAACACACAGGAGCACAAAGGATTTAGGGATGCTTCAGGCAGCCCTGCGGCCAACGGAGCCTTGCATGTGCAGCATGCAGGGACCCCAAACACCTCTAGTTGGTGCAGCTCCGAAGTAGAGCACAGCAAGGGATTCCCTGGGCTCGGCTGAACTGCTCTGATAATGCTGCGTATCCTGCCCTGACAGCAGCAGCAAGCTGATCTTGGCGTTATAGAGTTACTCTAGTTGGTTAAAAATAAACCCAGCTGCATAAAGATTCATGGCACTAAATGCGGGGGTGATAAAAATGCAGTGTCAGTGAATGCACAGTAACGTACAGAAGAAAAACAACTCCAGAGACACCATGCAGAAGCTATATGCCCAGCAATAGGTTCTGCAGCAGCTACTGCAGTTCAGCAGGAGCTCTCCCAGTCTTGGGGGACAGTCCCCAGCAAACATCTGCTGAGCTCTCAGCAGTGATCCAAAAAGCACAAATGTGTGTTAGGAAAAGAGGAGAATCCCCCAACATCATGCTCATGTATAAATTGGGGTGTCCCCACATCCTCCTTACTGCATAGTGTTTGCCACCCTGCTCCAGACTGGCCAAAGACTCCAGCTGGGAGATGTTTTGGGGCAGAATTCCTATTTTTTCTTAATTTTTTTTCCTCCCTCTCTGAGCACTTCCAGAGGCCCAGTGTGAAAGTCCTTATGACGAGTGCTGATGGTTCCAGCTCCAGGAAATCACACGCCACAAACTGTGAGCGCCCATAGCGAGCAGCCATCACTCAGCAAGCCACTGCTGAGGCCATACAGAATATTTAAGCCGTGTCCCACCCATCCAAAGCATAGTCATGCTAGCCACGTGTTTCAGCAGTTGCTTTGAACCTGAGCACTCTGTCCCTCGCAGCATTAACTCTTCCTCAATTTCCCCTCTAGCAAATTTCTCTGAGGAAGAGACAGGTCATATGTTTTGGTCAAGGACTCTGGCTTGCGTTGCCACCTGCGGTATGCAAGTCACTTCCAACGCCACATGCACAAGGTCTGGCCAACCATGTCCAGGGAGGGGAACGGCTGCCCAGGTGGCAAGCAGAGCTCAGGATGCTAAAACATCCTCCCTGCACAAGCTCAGTGTGGGACCAGCCCCAAAACACTCTCCCTGCTGCAGCAGGACTGCATTGCTCCGGTGCATCTCTGCTTTAGCTGGAGGAAGTGAAAATAATACTGTAAAGAATGTTTTTTTTCAGATAGAGTTGTAGAGAAGAACCGTTTTGGGAGGTGTGCCTCACTACTTTCCACTGGAAAGAAAATTTAAGAGGCAGTGGAGTTAAAGCGGGCATTAAAAGTCAGCAGACTCACTATTTTCCCCCACTTCTTCTTTCAAGTACATCACGTAGAATCTAAAGAAGCCTTTTGCCAAGCTGTAAAAGCATCCGCAGCGAACCTGTGTATATAAAGAGGAGTCTCCAGTCCTGCAGTGAAATCCTTTTTCTGGATCGTGCCCAAGCTCTCTCCGAAGGGATGCAGCGGAAGGGCAGGAATGCTCTGCTTGAAGTCCCACCAAACTCCGTCTGAAAACACGGGATGCTTGGTTTGTGCAAAGCTTTCTCTTGTCAAGCATGAAGTGAATCTCCAAATTACTGAGCAGTTACGCAGCTAGCTACTTATTTTTTCTGGTTGGGTCGTTCAAGGTGCTGCTAAAACATAAGGATTATGGTTCCAATTTAGTCCCTACATTCTCCTCTGGGAGCCGGTCACAACAAAAACAGAACCTGCAGGAAGGGGTCAGGTTTGCAACAGGAGTGGTTTTCTGGAGCTAAATAAGACACCAAATCATCACAAAAGCTAAGGACTAAAGAGGATTAAATCCCTGCTTTACCCCTAGCTAGTAATTCACAGTATTTGTCCTGGCAGTTCTCCCTGTGCTTTGGTGTGTGTTTTGTAGTAATACAGAGACACCGTAACAGCTCTGAAGGAACGATTTCTAACTGCCTGTGTCTCAGACTCAGGCACTGCTGCAGGAATATCACACCTGGGACTTAAGCCTTGTCTCTTGAGCCTTCATGTACAGATTTGTCACACTTATTTATTAAAAGTGAAAAGCCTCCAAAGCCAAGCCAGTGATGTATTGCACTTTGGTATGAAACATATGCTGTGTTTTTGGATGAAACAGACTGGGATGTCCTCATTAGTGGTAAGGAGGAGCCGAGGAGATGTGAGGTAACGCTGAGCAAGAGAAGGGGGTGTCAGGAGCTTCCTGCTGCAAACGACTTGGCTCTGTTTTTAGCGGAGTTAATGAGGACACATGTTGCCATTGCCCATGTTTCTGTATTTTGTTTCCGTATAAGTTGTTTGATGTGTGACACGGGAGAAGGTTTACTTGTAGCTCCTCCAAATGCATTTATTTGTGCTTCCATAGGATTTTTGCAACGTAGAAAATCCCCAGAGAAAGCACTTCCAGCGCGATGTGTGTGCAGGGAGCTAACAGCCTGGCGTTCTGCTCACTTCAGCCCCTGCTGGTTCAGCTTGGAAAGCTGCATTTTTCTCATGTTCCAGTGCTGTGCAAAAAGAGCCTGCACGAACAAGGGATGCAGACCATAGAGGAGAACATCTGCTTCCCAGGGAGCCTGCAGTGGGCACAGAGCCCGCGTTGGCTCTGCACGGCCTCCCAGCAATGCAGGGGAATGACAAGGACATCTTTGTTATTGAAACCCTGCACCCAGCCCCAAAATTTTCATCCTTGATGACTAATTTAATACCTGAAGCAGCACTCCATTTTCATTAAACGCTGCAGAGTGTGTATTTTTCAAGATCTGTAGTCACTGGAGGCAAAGAGCACGCAGCTATAACATCAGCAGACATCCTATTTCAGAGAGGTTATAGCTGCTTGCGATTCTGATCTCATAACCAGAGGGAGCCATTAAATGCTTAGGATAAGATTAACAGCTATAAAAGATCCCTGGCACACAGTAATATACACAGTTAATCACTGCTGAAGAACTCCCAGGAAGTTCTAGCCTTGAACACTACTACAATGCAAGCTTTACTGCTGCCTGCGCTCAGCAGGGCGGTGGGTTAAACTGATCCGCTCCTTTCTGCTGCAACACCTTCCTGTTGCCAAAATCTATCCCGAAAGCTGCGGCATCACAGCGGGCTGATCCACGTGCAGACACGGAGCCCATTCCCCTGCTTTGCTGAGCGGCTGGGCAGCTCCGTTTTTCAGCACTCCAGAACAATCGGCTTTGCAGAGGCCTAAATCCTGTCCTAGTTTGTAAAGCTCTGGATGTACTTTCCAGCCAGTGATCTCATTGTGCTGGAAGACAACCAGGGACTGTTACAGGAAGCATCATCAAAGATACTATAATCTCATTCTGAAACCCTTCAAGTGTGCAAGGATTTTTGGTGCTAGATCACTGAACACCAAGAAGAAAACCATTTAAAGTAGGTAGGACTTGTGATTCTCCGCATTTCTTCCTCTCCCTCTGGCACCACGAGAACAAGCTACACACCACTGATAGGAACATCCAGCCAGTAAAGAGTAGTGCAAGTTGTTTGCACTCCTGCAATACCTCTTCCTTCTGTTCAGCAGTGAAAATGCTAAACCAGAACCCAAAGGCTGGCTGGAACGCACAGCCAAAGGAAAACTAGCTACTCTTTAAACATCCTTTACTTAAGCTTTTGGGGAGAAAAAGCTGTGATGCTCTAACTGTAGAAGACTCAGCTGCTTAGGCCTCTTATTGATTTATTAATGGTATAGGTTAACAATGTTCATGCTACTAGTGATAATTTACCTGTTGAGAATCAAAAGGTAATTTTGACAATTTAGTGAAAGAAGGCAATACTTGGAGTATCACATCCATTATTCTTAGAGCTACTTCCTTTATTCCATTCAGGAACAAGCTTAAACGTATCTGTGCTTCAGTTTTCAGTTAATGTGCTTTCCTGCACTCTCAATTAAACAGCATTGTCTTATAGCTTTGGGTCTGTCAGGTGAGCTTTGGGAAGCTTTGCTGGGGCCACTGAAGCTGCTGTTATACTGCAGCCGAGTCAAGAAAAAAGGCTGTCCTTAGTCCCTTCTTCAGGGCAAGAGACAGTCTTTTAGATTGAGGCTGACTTTGGCTGCCAGCAAAGATCAGCTTGGCACAAAAGGAGCAGAGTGAAGGGCAGACGGCTGTAACACATACATCCAGCTAAATTTGACTGCAATAATCAGAATATACTTAATATAATTAAGAGGGCTCCACTTGGAGATGCTTATCTCAGATCTAAGGTGGGGGCCGTCAAGTTTAATTTATATTTGGCTTTGCTCTGCATTTTACTTTATTGCTGTTCTATGCTTACAAGTGTTATTTATTTGGAAGGCAAGAATTTTCTAAAACTGAAAAGCGGTAGTGTTTTTTTCAGTAAGTTGAAACTGTAGCTAAAAGATAATGTCCAACCTGGCCAAACAAGAGCTCTACTCAAGCGCAGAGCATTCCACAAATTGAGAGATTCTTTAAAAGATTCTAAATGGATTATTTGCTAGGTCTGGATACTATTGCCAGAAGCAGTTTTGCACATGCAGGAGAGAAAAAACCTTAATGTTCCTCCAGACTGTCTCAGTCCTCTCCACCACCTCAGCTGTATCACACACAAGCATTTTTGGTTTAAAGTAGATTCAAAAACTTTATTAGCCTAAATAAAAAACACAGTTCATTTTTTTTTTACAATAGAACCTGGTTATTTTTCTGGCATTTAGTAAAACCAGAGGACAGGCTCTTTGCAGCTAGAATTTGGGGGACATGCAGCTCTTACACATAGTCACTTATCTCACACCATTCCTTCATCTTCCAGCATGAGGGAATCTTGCAGCGCAGTCAATACTCTAGCTTGCTGCAGGGGCTGCAGTCTTCTGGCATAACCTGGCTAGCAGTCCAGCCATCTGCAAGAGCGAGTTCACCCCTTCCACTATCTTCATGTGAGTGTATCCAATCTCCTGGTGACAAAGATATTGTCAAATCTTCTGCTTTTCTTAGTCTGTTTGATCAGCAAAATATTTTCTGGTTTATTTTCATTTCTCTCAGTCTATATCTATTAATATTAGTCACAGTCCACTAAATATCTCTTACTGCTAAAAGATTAGCTTCAGAGTCATTTGAACTTAAGTCTACGAAACACCTACAGCACTCCGTGCTATCACCTTCTCGGGTAAACCAGCTGAAATGCTGTTCTTTAAAAATCTGTATCACTCCACTTACTTTTCAGGGAGCAAGGTGCATGTATTTGAGAACAGATTTTAAATCTAAGAGTGATTCTATTACATCAGTTTACCATTTGTCAACTGGCTGCCAATATAATTTAATATTTCATGTTCTATTGGACTACAATCAAATACGCTCTTATAAAAAGTTCTCAAAGTTAATTGAGCCTTTGATGTAATGGCTGCCTCAATTTATTATTTGTATTTGTTAATAATTGCACTTGAAAAATAAAGTGACATTTATGATTAGACTTTAGTCTTCAAGTAACCGTTTTTACTGACAAACAGATGAGGCAAGGTGAGAAAAGAAAAAATAATAAAAAGTTAAAAACATTTTTTTCACTAGGAACACCTAGGAAATCTCAAGTGCAAAACTCCAAGGCTACTGGTATATTATGGTCCTTTTAAAAAGGCTCTCAAAACCCCATCAGTTACTACATTACTACTAACCTTGATAAATTCCAATTTCAGATATTCTGGCATTTGAAAGGTTTTACACACACGGAAGATGTTTCCTATCACATCTTCTGGAGAGTATCCAAGTCGCCACAGGTGGGCAAGAATCTGTGTAGGTAAGGATAAGTCAACCTTTATCTAGAAATTATCAGATGAGTTAAGCCTGTGTTCACTTCTGGCACAGCTGCATTCAACAGCTCATCTGCATAGTTTTTCCCTTATCTTAAAAAGTAGAGCATGCTGTGAAGTCTTCAAAACAAGCATTTTGTAGAGAAAAGATGTCCGACCACACAGACATGCTGCATGAAAACCAACCTTGTATGCTTCATCAATATTTGCATTGATGCAGTGTTGTATCATTTCTTTCACAAGCAGAGGATGAGGCTCATCACATACCTATGTCAAAAAGAATAATAATAGAATAATAGCAGATTAGAACCTTCTGTGCTCTACCACCCAGGGACTTCAACAAGCTTCTGTTCAGTTGAAGGACCGAATCAAACTCATCCTATAATACAGATTAAATTCATTGTAGTTTAAGTAACTTGAGTTTCCAGTAACTTAGTTCCCACACAATGTCAAGCTCAACAGCACTAAGTGAGATCAAGTAATAGATGGAGATACGTTTACAGCCAAAAAGCTTCAGAGGTGCCGTTAGGCAAATGGGACACATTTGTCTTCCAAAAGGCAAATGGGCTTATTTTGCCTAATGCCATAATTGCTGCGTAGATTGAACTGTCTGCAATCTGGCAAAGCACTTTCTAAGTTTTACACATCTCAAGGAAGGTCTCACACAGTTATAGGTGCTAGACATCCAGTAGTACTGTTTTACACTATTACTAACCTTAAAAACATTTTCACTGTTTATAAAGCCAAATCCAGAATATGTGGACTGTAAGTTGTTTAATGCCTGTGAAAAGGAAAATTAAGACGTCAGTTATTTTCAGAAGTGCTCTACTTCTGGCTTCAGGATGAAGTGTAGACTTCTTAAGAAATAATGCTAAATAAGCAGCTTTCATTCAGGCAACAGAATAAACAGCAAACGTATGTATGATTTGTTTCCTCTAACAAGTCAGTATCTTATTCTCATCAATTATTTTCCAAGTAGGAAATCCACTTTTTAAGCCCTGCAAAACTAAACAGGTTAGCTACTTTTGTGTCGTAGATTACGTTCCCTTTGCCTTTCCTCTCCAAAGCTAAATCCTCAAGAGGTTTTTGCTCTAAACAGTTGTTTCAGAGATGTACCACTGTCTTTCCTCTTTTACCTGTCTCATGTCTCCTTGAGCTGTGAAGATAATGGCTTCTAGTCCGTCATCTGTATATGGTACATCCTCCTTCTCAACAATTTTCAGTAGCCTTGCAAGGATTTGTGAATCTGTCAGCTTGGTGTAACGTAGCACTGCACATCGAGACTGAATAGGTTCTGAGGACACAGATGAATAATTAACATTTCCCTTTAAGGCATTTATTTTCAGCTTGGAAGAAAATATCCCAGCTTCCAACTCTTAATTTATCATCTTCTATTACAGACAAAGAGTCTTTCAGCTCTGGATGGAATATAGTGTCTCCTTCAGCATATGCACATAGAATCATAGAATTCTTAAGGTTGGAAGGGACCTTTAGAGATCCCTAGCACAGGGCTGCATCCAGGCGGGTTCTGAAGATCTCCAGAGAAGGAGACTCCACAACCTCTGTGGGCAGCCTGTTCCAGGGCTCTGGCACCCTCACTCTTAAGAAATTTTTCCTCAAGTTCTTGTGGAACTTTTGGTGCCTCAGCTTGTGGCCGTTTCCTCTAGTTCTGTCAGTGGCCACCACTGAAAAGAGGCTGCCCCCTCCTCCTCACAGCCTTCCTTGAGGTATTTATAGACACTGATCAGGTCCCCCCTCAGTCTTCTCCTCCTCAGGCTGAACAGGCCCAGCTCTCTCAGCCCTTCCTCATAGGGCAGATGTTCCAGGCCCCTGATCATCCTCGTAGCCCTGCGCTGGGCTCTCTCCAACAGCTCCACATCCCTCTTGTACTGGGGAGCCCAGAACTGGACACAGTCTCTAGATGTGGCCTCTTTAGGGCTGAGTAGAGGGGGATGATCACCTCCCTTGACCTGCTAGAGATGCTCTTCTTATAGTCCTTCACTTCAGTCCAAATGCACTACTTGATTCTGCCTTCTATGTACAAACATGTAACAAGCTCAGTTTCTATTCTGCTGGTTTTCTCAATGTACATGTTTACCACACTGTTTTAACTCCTAAGCAAAATCAGTCTAACTGTCTACTAAAGTTAGGCAAACTTTACGTTTTTGTAATAAGAAGCAGGACAACAAGAGGGGTTAATACCCAGTGAACAACACACCAAGTACACTTTAAACTGTATCAGAAGGTGAACAGAGATTAAGCTGAGAGGACTAGAAATCTGCTTCTATGCAGAGATGCATAACACTATCCATCAAAAACAGCTGTTCAGAGAACTCACCAGTTACCCAGATCTGCTCTTTTATTATCTGCATTTTCAAGTGGTTTGAGTTTCAGAAGTACCACAGCCTCCTCCAATAAGCAGATTCAAGGTATTTCTGAAAACTACTTTGAAAGGTAGCCAACAGCATGGAGAATGTATTACAAAAGCAGAAACTGGCAGCACTTTACCTATGATTTTATCGGAGGCATTGCATGCAAGTGCAAAGCGTGTTGTTTTGGAATAAATTTCCATTGTTCTTCTCAATGCTTGCTGTGCTCCATCTGTCATGCTGAGTGAAAGAAAAAGGAGTTAGGACAGATTTTGCCCTTCACCGACTTCTAACTGCAGCCTAATACCAATTTTTGTACTGCTAGGCATTTAAGCAGATGACCCTGCAATACACTTGCTGAGATCTCTGTTAAACTAGCATACAAAGTTAACATTAAATCATTAATAGTCTGGAAAATACTGCTAGGAATATACCAAGCATAGGCAGATGCATGAGAATACCTGTTTTCATCCAGTGAAATTAATAGTGTCTACAATAAGCAGGACTCTTTTCAAGAAAAAATAGTCATTGAGCTGGATGATGGTATTTCACATCCAGATAGATCCCAAAGTGTTTCAACCCAGTATTCCGTTTCCCTTTAAATGCAGCAATCTCTGCTTGATATAAGGAATCTCATAACAGTGTTGTTCATTGCATACCTATTTCATATCAAATTATTTCTGATAGCCTGATAGAAATATCTAAGACTACTTCTGACAGCCACTTTGCACATAAGAAGACAGATAGAACACATTTCATGTGGTAGCTGAGGTCAAGAGAAAAACAAGGTACCTGTCTGCTTCATCAAGGATGATTATTTTATGCCGACCTTTTGGAAGTGTGACCTTCTGCTGGGCAAACATTTTGATTTTGTTTCTCACAACATCAATACCCCTGGAACAATAAGTAATTCAAGATCAGTTGGGCAAAGCTTAATTAATAGATCTTATTCCGCACAGCAGCATTCCCAGGCACCCCACTCAATTAGAATCACAGAATTCAGATCAGAAGGGACCTCTGGAGATCCTAGAGCCAGAAGGCAAAGTTATGAAGTGAACAGGGGCAGAAACTTTTAAGACTGCTTTGCCACTTTGTCAATACTTTACATAACTATGTCCACAGACCCAGCTATAATGCAAAATAGTTTAAGAGAAATAGCTGCACAAACTGCATTCTACTAGCACAACACGGACACTTTCCTACACAAAGTCCCACCAAAGAGTTGCTTTGAAAATATAAATGATTTTATGTTTATTCTGCCTTGTACATGAATGCCATAATTCTACAATTCTTCTGTAACTGAGATTAACCAAGGCAATATAATGTATTATACTCCTATACGACCCTCCATTACCATCCTCAGAACACTTCAGGATATGGTCTGCTAAAGGACTTTGGAAATATTATAATTAGGCGTTAGCATCTGATCCTTGGAAAAGATTCAGTGCCCTCTACATACATAACACATCCTATAGTTTAATCATCTAACTTTACAGCTCTGTTTTCTATCACTTTTTGTACTAAGCAGTGAATAGTCCCATTCTAAGTCATCCTCTCTTTCTTCTTTGGAGGATTTTTATGAATGTAAGACTTCAGAAGGAAGACGATAGAGTCTGTATTCCATCTGCTTATGTTTTCAGTGTTTCAAAGTATCTGTCAAGTTTGTCATCAGACGATAATAGTGACATTAATAAAACCAAATATCACCTAACTAAATTGGAAAAACTGCATAAAAATTGGTATTAGAGGCATCTCTGAAGCACTAAGCCCATCAAGTCTGCCTGAATTCAATTAAAAATAAAAGCAGATACTAGTTTCTTCATCAAGACTCTGACTAGATACACACTGCTGTCGTTCTCACCTGTCATTTGAGGCATTTAGCTCCAGAACAGCATCCTTTAAAGCAGGACCAAGCAGAGCACGAGCCAAGCAGAGTATACTTGTGGTTTTACCTGTTCCTGGAGGACCCTAGAAATGCAACAATGGCTGTTGAGTTTTATGCTATTTTCTAATTTGGACTCTCTGCAATCATTGCATTCATGAAATGCTGCTGCAATGCAGGAGCGGGAGGGAGAACCTTGGACTAGGAGGTGCTCAAATTCAGTTCCAGCCCCCAGCAGCAAGCAGAGGTGTTGCAAGCAGAACAGGACGTGCTTCAATGGGCACCTAAAGACCAAGTTCATTCTCAACAGAAGGATATTTCTTAAATATTCTGCCCAGAATATTGTTCTGTGACCAGAAAATCAAGATTTCATTTACCCTCACATTTAGGAACCATGCAAATTTATACTGGGAGGCGACTGTGGCTCGGGCTCAGGACCAACACGGTGAAATACAGAGCAGCACAGCAATACTTACAGCAATTATAATATTTGGTACATTCCCCTCTTTTGCAAAGACCTAAGAAAACATACAAAAAAAAAATATATATATATATATATAAGAAAACTGGGACCAAATAAGATTCACATTTAACCACAAGAAGAATTAATCATTTCTACTCTTCTGTCCTGCTTCTGTTTTTTGAACCTGTTTTCATGTTTTAATTATCAATTAGAAGTCAACCCCGTAGAATAATGAGAAAACTTAAAAAGCTGAGAAGACTTAAAAAGCACTTACTACCTAAACTTTTAGCATTCTTGCCTTCCATCTGCTTTAATTACTTATTGGCTGGTACGTGCTTTCTGCTAACAAATGGTGTGATGACCAGCTAATTTTTCAAGGATTAGTAGACTAACTACCAAGTATTAAAACTGGGCCAAGACACACAACATTACTATTTTGTAAGGAGTATTTCTTTAGCAAACCAATCAAACATGTTCTAAAATATATGATTTCTATGTGAAGTAAGGAAGGTTTTGTTTTGTTTTCCCTCTCCACAAAACTGTTGTGGTTGTCTGTTTGGGTCTGTTTCTCTGAATTATGTTACAAACCATGAAGAGGAAGCCACACACCTCCAGTCTGCTCACGGTGTCCTCGTTCCCAACTATTTCACAGAGCTTCACCGGTCTATATTTTTCCACCCTGGAAAAGTCAACCCCCCAGGATAGAGTGCAGCTCAATAACACTTTTCATGGTGTTTTACACGGTGAGCAAGAGGACCACACGAGCGCGCCATTCCACGGCCCGATTCCATTTGTCGCGACTGGTAACTAAGGGGAGGACACGGCGGGCGGGCGGGAAGGCCCGGACAGAGAGGGAGGACACGGCGGGCGGGAACGCCCGGACATGGAGGCCCGGGCGGCCGCTCTCCACTCGGCCCCTTCCCCGGCCCCGGCGCCATCTTGACACCTTACAGCCCTCCCTGAGGGAACGCGACCGCCTTCCCGCCAACGACGAACGGCGCCTCCCATAGGCTGCGCGGCGCCAAGCCCCGCCTCCTGCCCCGCTCTGCTCCAATGGCCGTGCGCGCCCGCCCGCGCCGGGCTCTCTCCTCAGGGCTCTCACCAGGGCAGCTCGTAATGGCCGCTGGTGGCGGCGGCTGCGGGGGGCTCGGCGGGTCCCCGTTTCTCGCCCGCCGCCGACCCGACCTTCTCGTCCCCCGCGACCTCCACTTCCATCTCGGCGTCAGCCGGCGCGGCGCAGGCCTTCCCGTAGCCTCCGTGAAGGGAGGGCGGTGCTGCCGGGCCCGCCCTGCGGGGAGGGTCCCCAGCGGCCCGGCCTCCTGGGCGGCAACGGGAGGAGCGGCCTGCAGAGGCCTCAGGCTGGGCCTTGCTAGCCCGGGGCGGGCGGTGAAACGTCGGGGAGGTACTCGGCGCTGCTGGGAGAGCGCAGATTTAGGGCTCCGGGTTTGGTCCTCAGGGGTCTTTTATTTATCCATATAAAAACAAAAACGCCTTACAAACAAGTTATGCTGTTCCAGGTGGGAGGTTGTGGTGATGCTGTTCAGTGTCAGGCTTGGTGGTTTGGTATATCAGCAGCTCCAGGGGCCTTGGTGCTACCTCAGGATCCGCTCATGCCCCACAGCATCAGTGATGCTGCTTTTGGTTTAGCAAGCAGGGGATTTTCCTTCCATCCAGGTTATTGCCCCTTGGGAAGTACTTCTGATTTACGGTAAACGTGAAGTGGGAAATCAGTCCTGGTCGTATTTCAACCTATGTTCATGTGGTGTTGTTCCTCTTAGAGGATGTCGCTCACCAAGACATTGTCATTCACATGTGCTGATTTTAAGAGCCAGCGCTTGCTGCTTGTTCTTTTGAGGCTGGGTGTTTTGGGTATAAGCGTTGCCTTTGACATGGCTTGTTCCTGTGGCCTGGTGGTGCTGGCAGCTGCTGAGTTTTTCACAAGATCTCACAATTCTGCAGGCTGCAGTTTTTGCTATGCAAAGTGTAGTTTTGTGCCTAAGCTTTTTGCAGGCACAGTGCTTGGTGGTTTAATTTTTTTTTTTAATTGATAGCTTTATGCAGTTCAGAGTGTTTTTGTGACAGGTGTTGCTTAAGGGTGGAATTGTAATTGATCTGCAGACTGTATGTAGCTGTCTAAATTAGCTGTGGATTTCACCCACTGGAGGTAAAGTAGGAGAACAAAATGCATAAATATGTGGCTTTTGAGGGCAAGACAGACAGTTTTCAGTGCTTAGTCTGTTCCTAGCATACATACTGGCCAAGTACATTGTTCTTGTAACACATTAGACTTATCTTATTGCAGTGTTCAGCAGAAGCCAGCATGAGATCTTGAAATACTGCGGCTGCATTCGATGCTGCTGGTCATAAAAGTCAGTCAGTGTAACGCCCTGGACATGGTTTGCTTCCTTGCCGAATTAAGCAGTTATTACGCTCTTGGAGAGTGCCAGCCTCTAGATAAGACACAATTTTTCTGTCCAGCGTTAATTCTCCCATTATACGTGCATTATTGCTGCTGATAAGAACCCAAAGGACTGTGAGAAAGACCCATTCATAAGAACTGCTGCTGAAAGCCTGATGACAGATTTTGTGATACGTTTCTGCGAATTGATTATAAAACATGTTTCTTGGGTTGCAGTCTTCTAAAACTGCGCACCCGTCTGTGGACAGAAACTCCTCATGTTTCCACAGAGATGCTCTGGTTTGTCAGACACAGAGCAAGTGTCTGTTGAGGGTGCAAGGGTATTGATGGTAATGCATGGCAGGTGACCCTATTTCTAATGTAGTTTCCCTTGAAATTACAGGATATGTTCTAGATCAAATTAGTTCCAAATTCAGTGCTGTAAAGGTGCAGAGTGATGCTTTTGAGGCATTGTCAAAGATGTACCAGCGTGCCTGAATGCAGTACATGTGCATATGTTGTCCTGAAAGGTGAATGATCTTGAATTTAAGACAATTCCTTCCTGTCTCTCTCTCCAAAACATACACACAAGAGATTTATTAAATTATCTGTTCTAGAATCCAGATATACACTTTCCACTAACAAGTTAGTTAGCAAGAAAAGTGCTTGTCTTGGATTCATTCAGAGACCACAGATCTTATAGTCATCCAGGAGCAATGACACCCCAGCTACATATGCTTAATATAGGGAATAAGTCCTTTAAAGACCATTTGGAGCCTTTATTCACAGATTTGCTCTGGTTAAGAGTTTGTGCTTTGGCCCTTATGGGAAGCTGAAGGAGGAGGGTGTAGCAGGTTTTGTCAGGGGTCAGGCAAAAATTTAAAAAGAGTTTAAGAAATCCTTCATGTTATGTGCTGTAATAGGAACTGAAGGTGTTTTGTTAGACTTTGAAGAAGGTGAGACACTGCAAGTGAGGCAAAAGTTGAAGACAGTGCAGAGTGACAGTGAGGAAATGATGATGTGAAGTGTAAAAGCCAAAAGGCAATACAGGTAAAGCCTGAAAGAAACAGTTAATTTCAGGCAAGTCATTAGTGAACAATATGTATCTGTATTGCATGTTCTTTGGAGAAAATAATAAAAATCTTGTATACAGTCTGTTTTTGAAGAAGTTGAGGATAGTCTTGTATTCAAGGTCGTTTTGCTTTTGGATTAACACTGTGTTGAGATGTTAAATTGCAGTGTTGGGGAAAGTATGAAGCTCCTTCAACTGCTCTTTCCTCGTCCCACCCCAGCCCTGCAGCACTGCTTAAAGCTGTCACCTCCTATTGCAGCACGCTGCTGCTCAGCCACCACAAGTAGGTCACGCAGCACAGATGGCCGTGCTGCCAGGGCCATGTGGAGGCTGCAGTCCCCTTTGCTGATGTTCCCTGCTCACGCCCGCTCTTAGCTCAGAGAGAGTGAGATGGATTCTGATGCTACTAACCATTTTAGCTCATGCTGATCCTGAAAGTATAAAGCAAAACTGATGTGAAAACCACGGTGATAGCAGTAATGGAAAGGTTGGATGGGGGGCTGGACTGTTGCTTTATGAAACGTGGCACCACTGTGTTAGTAATTCCTGAGCCTGGCATGTCTGAGCCCAGAGTGACAGGGGCATTGATTCCTGTAGAGCTGCAGTGTTTGAGCTCTAAGAGAAACCCAGTGATGATGCTACCCTGGATATGCACAGGGTAGCAACTTGTCCATGTTCTAGTAGCATCAATGCACCACTCAGCTTCGAATATGTAGAATGTCCATGGAGATGTGGTTGCATTGTTTTAGAATTACTCCTAATAAGTTAACATGTTATTTATTAGTTATTAGTTATCTCAGCCAATGTTCTGTGAATTGTTTAAATTTTCGGCAGCTCATCAGAGCAGTCTGTGAAAGTACAAGATGAATCTATTGGTTCTGTCACCTGGTCATTTTTATTTTGGCCTTCTAATTGCTTTTTACATTCTAAGGGTCTATCATGTTTTTTATGTTGTCACATGAAGCTGCAAGCAGCAGCAGAGCTTCCTCTTCTACTGTTTCACTCAGTGGCTGATAAACTTACACTGCTGAAAGCCAAAGCAGTTGCACTGAAGGCCATGGGGCACTGTGGAAAAAAAAAAGATGCATAGATCAGTATCAGGCTATTGCAATTAGGAAAATCTCGTGTTTTAAATATTTAAAATTATTTCCTATAACCATATGAAAGGAATAAATTTAGATCACCACAATTTAAAGCTGCAGAAGTGTTATTGTGACTTATTTATGCATGTGTTGATGAATAAATGCAAATTATCCAATGTTAGGATGCAAGAGCAGTATCCAAGGACAGACTTGCCACGACTATTCTCTTGGCCATCTGATGCTTAAGACCGTGTTGTTGAAATTTTCATTCTTTTTCTCAAGCATGTAGGTGACCCAGCACCAGATCAGGCATGTGGTTGCAACTTCAGTCAGTAGAGGGAGTATGGACACCTCTGTTAAAGGACATGCAGGTTACTTGTGACAGCTGTTAGAACAGACTCTCAGCAAGACTCCTTTTGTCTCCAAAAACGGTAACTGTTTAAGCATACCTTTTTTTTTTTTTCTAGAAACCTAAGTGCAGGTATTGGCTGTTAATAAAGCTTTTAGATAAACACTGTTCAATAAAACTGTTAGAGAAGGGACTGCTGATTTGTGCTTGTCACATAATTATTCTTTTGGTGTTGACCTTTGGCTACTCACCCCTGTAGTTTGTGGCTGGCCGGAGCAATCCCTTTTCTCATCCCATAAGGAGTTTTGTTTGCATTAATGCCTGCCTCCAGGGAGGACATAGATTCCTCCCATTTCCCTAAGGATCCTGAGGAAACCATTGTGTGCCTGGCTTTTGTTGCTGCACATACGCACTGCAAAGGGCATTTGCAGCAGAGAGAGGCTTCCTCCATGCTTTTACCAGTGTAGCACCTTACTGGTGGTTTTGGGCATAACACTTGGCCTCTGTGGCTTCCTTTATCTGTGACAATGGGAATATGGAGTGATATTTGAATGAAGATTGCTAGACATTTCAAAACTTTGCAGTAGGGTTACTACCAAGTTCTAGGATTTTGTGTTCTAGGATTAAAATTTTATTTGTTTGTTTGTTTATTTATTTATTTCAGTTGCAGTATTGCTTTACTTTTAGTCAAACATATGCCAGCCATGACAGCCAGGTATTTTGCTTAGTGAATCCGGCGTTTGTACTTTCTTGTGCTCTTCCTTTACGTCAGCAGCCTGGTAGTATTCTTTCCTGGCTGCTGCTAGTTGGTACTGCATGACATTATGCAATCCATTTCATTTGTATGTAGTCCCTTAAACGCTGGGCAAAACTTGGTCAGAGTCAGTGTCTGGCTGAATGAAAGAAAATAAATCTCAACTAGAATCCATTTGTGCTCATTTTCGGCATGTAAAAGATGAAAATATAATAATGTCATTGTTTATCAGGAGCCCAAGAATTACCAGGCTGCAAGAACTCTGGATTCTTTAAAGTCTTAAGGCCTGGATTTAGAAATGTCAAAAGGAAGGGCTGCAGTAATCAAAACAGGAAATGCTCAAAGAAGGATTTTAGCAAAAGATTAAGGTAAGGGTGGACTCTAGTTGCATTGTAGAGCTTAAATGATAGAGAAAGTGAGGAAAATCAGACAAAAAGACGTTTGTGGTTATTATCTTTACACTTTTCTGCATATGGATGATTTTTTTCTCTAAAGATTTGGTGTGCCTCTGCATAGTTGAACTATGAAAAATAGGATTCATGCTCTTCAGAAGTTAAGCT